CCATGAGTTGGGAGAAATTTTACTAATTTAATGCTCCCACAAATTAAGGTCTTCATGTCGGGCAAATATTTTTTTTTCGTTCACAGTCTCTTGTTGCCATGACGACGAGGTTACGCATCCATTTGCGTAATGACGCGCGTGCGTGTTTCCATAACGACTGCCACGAGCACAACACGCGGACACATGCGTGCGTTTATCCATTGTAACAGCCACGTGCAAAAATGATTACACACGCACCCTGTTGTTGCCATAGCAACTGGCTTATCGAGCGCCAAGTCAATTGCCATATTGCAAAAAATGTAATTTAAGTTCATATTGAAAATTGGTTTATTTATTCTGTGATTAATTTAAAAACTCTTAGCTTGGCGAGGGAATAATTGAGACGTGTATAATTGTGGCAAAAAGATTTCCTTTGAGAAAAACATTTAATATAATTTTGAATAAAATAAAGGACTACGTATTAGGACATCGTCGTAACCTTTGCTTAATAAATATTATTAAAGTAAAAGACAGGAAGTGACTTATATGGCACTGTTGAATGCACCAAAATTATTGAGAGAACGTTGGGACATGCGACCGGTCTTATAGTAGTTATTTAAAGGTGCTAACGGCGAAGACATAAAAAAACTTCATAAAAGAATTAATTTGAAATTTTAATTTTTTTGTTAACTTTATATTGTTTATATTATTTTATTGAGTAGCCAATGAGAGGAGAAATGACCTATTTATTAACGTTTAACACTATTTTTTAACTGTTTCTAAAGATAGAATTACCATCATGAATATTTCCTTATTTTAATCAGAACTCCATTTTTTTGCCCTTAGGGTACGCACACAGTGAAAGCAGGTTGCCAGCGTGCTGGTTACCTGCTCAGGCTGGCGCCTGAAACCATAAAATACAGAAGCCTATTCGTACAGGTTTTCACTGTGAACACTTACATTATTATCCTATCTTCATTCTTGTGGCAGGTTGGAGCCGGTTGCCCGCGCGGACAAACCTGCTTTCACTGTGCTCGTACCCATAAGCTGCCTTGCATATTTTCGCGACGAATTTACTAATTTTGTACGTTCTTATGAAGATATTAACTAGTTGTCGTTTCTGGTTAATTTTTTTCATTCCTTTATTTGTTAAGTTAAATATTAATTATAAATTGGTGCCCACAAGAGCTCAAATGTTAATTTGAGAGAATTAGGTTTTTCGACTCAACGTTCATTCGAAATGTTATATAGAACTTTATTTCGGATAGCCATAATTGCTTTTTGATAATTGTGCTAATATACAACAGAAAAGTGAATCGTAAACATTGTCAGAATATTGATACACTTTCTTGACCACAGCACAAGCAGAACGTGTGATATGCCATTTTGCTGACCCGAAGTGACGTCTCGGACAAATTTACGGTCGGACTTGCGGCCTGTCTATCGTCCGGCCTCACAACCAGTCTCCAAATTCAATGATCAAAGAATATCTCCCAAACTAATGAACGCAGCTCGATGAAACTTGGTATACGTATTAATTAGGACCTAATAGTGATGTATAGCTCTTAAGTATTTTTTAATTTCGCCTTCATTCGTGAGTTATATGGCGATACGGGCTGAAATTTGCAGTGACCAAGGAATTTCTTCCAAACTACTAAACAGATATGAACGAATGGTTTTTAAATTTATTTATTTTAAAGTATTCTAGTCTCTTTACAGTTACTTAGCTTTCACATAAATGTACTCTGCAAGAGACTTTTTACATCAAGATCGATCTTTATTTCTGATCTTCTTTCGAAAATCCGTATCTTCTGTTTCAAGGGCCACTTCTACTAAATAACATGCATTAATTAACTGACATACAAAACAATAATCATGTAACACACAATATTATCATACAATAATGAAACAGATAAATATGAACCCACAAAGGTAACAATTTCCTCCTTTAATTCTAACCACACGAGATACGACAAAGTTTCCCCCACTAACAACATCGGAGAGATGACAGCAACCTGAGACTGGAGTCACATTAAGAACGGCTAAGCCGCCGGACTCTCATGATGAAACATTCCGAGCTTCTTACCGCTACAAATCTCATCAAATGACCGAGACGCGCTTGATGTATTGAGGGCCCTCGTCACGATGATGAGCTTCATCTAACCGCACTCGACACGACCCATTTTTTCAGGTTTATTACAACACTTCTCTTTAGCTTCACTTCTTGTTGTTGGTTTGTCTGCTACAAATCTTATAATAGATATTTAACGCATTTCTACCTCTCCAATCGAACTGAAATTTTGCACACTTGAGTAAAGTTGGAGACAATGCATGAATCAATTGACAGAATAAATAACTTTGAAATTTTAACGTATTTTAGTAAAAAATGTTAAAAATAATTTTTTAGAAATGAAAATAAAATTTTAAATTCATTGTACATGTCTAACATCGGAGACACTGGATTCATTAGAAGTATTGTCTTTAAAAAATAATTTTTAAACGCATATTATTCTTATCATTTTTGTTCGCTTTCAAGGCGCTTAGTTATTGTGAAAGATGGAATTTTTACGAGTGATTTTTGTGACGAGGACTTAACAAGGAAATCTTTCTTTTAGATTCAGCACGTCAATTATTTAATATGATTTGATTTCGTTGATTTATGATATGATTTAATATATATGATATTAAATATTTTATGATTGATATGATTTAAATTCACTGCAAAAACAGCACGTTACTTTTACCATGATGTTTTTTGCGATTCACCTGGCTACACCTTCAACCTGAGAATTGAGGAAGAGTTGGGAAATGACTACTCTTTTATTAAGAATTCCTATGTGAGACCGATTTATTTAAATAATTTTATAAGTTAATTTAGACGGTCAGTCAAGCCACGGGGTTTGAGTGGCATTGTAAACAAAGGAGGCTAAGAGTTAAGTATTTCTATGCCTTGGTATTAAATTGAAATTTAAATATAATACTGAGTGTGTCTCATTGTAATTATGTGCAGTGCAAATTATTTATTATATCATAATAAAAGTTTCCCGTTCCTTTTCAAACTTTGAACAAACTTGGCGCCAAGTTTCTGGTTGCAAGACTTTATCTTCAGTTCGGTGAGACTGGCAATACATGAAAGTTAATGCAAGAAATTTTGATATTTCAAAAACATCCGATAATTCATGCAAATTGTTCATTACTACATGATTTTCCTGTATGTACGTAAGAAACATGAGAATAAAAATCAAACTGTGTAAGATTTATCAAATTATCTTAAAATGAAGCGAATAATAATTTTATTGAAAAATAATCTTACACGGTAATTGGAATTACCTGTAAAAAATAAATTGTTTTTCGTTTCTTTTAAGGCTGAATATGATCATACGGTTTTATCTTGCTCATACAGTTTCCTATTTTAGCCCATAAAATTTCTACTGAGAATATTATCATTACAATATATAAGCTCATATTTAAAAAATGCAGTATATGGCATAGAAGATAAATTAAAGTCAATATTTTTCAACATCGCAGCTATGGCAAGCGGCGATTTTGCAATCATCAATGTCATCATTTATAAAAAAATATTTCATTGAGCAGATCTATTGAATTTTTACTAGCCTAACGGTGAATTTCACACTATCCTCTTGACTCTACTTGTTGAAGTAAAATAAGTAATTCTCACGATAGCGCAAAATGTCAAGTCTATTTCTCTTAAAAAACGTAGCAAAAAAGCGCTTTTAAAAATATTTAAGGAATGATCACTAGATGCTCATCTTCATCGTCATCTCGACGAAATCCTCAAAAATCTGAACTGAAATCATTAAAAAAAGTTTGTGCAAGAGGAATAAAATGTGTAGAAATACCATCCAAGAAAGCGATCAAGAAAAAGTCATCGGGAATGAAATTTCGCGAATGCACTCTACGACGAAACATTGAAATGGATTTCGTAAATGATGATTTAAACGACCCTTCTGAGAAAAGCGGTAGTTGCTCTGGCTATGGCAACTCAGTAAAGCGAAACCCCGAGACATCGTGCAATTATAAAAGCTTTAATATTTCTGTACGTGATGGTGAAGAAGAGGCCGTCACAGCTCAAAGCCGTGCATCTTCAGAGAGCTCCTCTGGCTCTCTGGCATTTGCGTATAATCTCAACAAAATTCGAGACGACCGGGTTTCTCAAGCTGACTCTCGAGAAAAAGACGAGTGCGGAGCTGCAGACATCTTTCGCTGGCTTGTCGGGCTCGAAGAAGATGCTGGATCCAATGCTTCGCCAGAGAAGTTACTAGAAAATTTTATTCAGAGTCAAAATATAGGACATAGTAAAATAGCTGTTGACACCAAAGGAGGGCCAGGTGGAAAGATAAGACGCTTATCCCTTGATCTGCTCGGCTATAGTATTCCAGTGAACCGCATGCTAGGGAATAATTCTATAAGGAGATATTCTTGTAGTGCTGACAAAGGGAATTGCCTTGGGCAACAGGATATTGAAAGCAAGGTATCCTCACTGCATCGGCAAAAGCAGAGGAAGCTTTTTGAAGAAGTTGAAACGGATCGAGATCGAGATGATTATGCATCATCTGAACCCGGAAAAAACGAGGAGGATATTCCTGAATCGACATCAGTTTCGTCTGTTCAAAGTGACGATTCTGTTGTAAAAGTAACAGAAAATACTCCACGTTATTCAGGTAGCAGCAATTCGGTTAATAGCTTTGATTCTGCAAGGAGCACCGCCATGTCTTCAACTTGCTCATCTTCAAGCGACACAAGTGAAAATGAAGAAGATACTTGTCGATCGACTTCAACTGGAGGAAGCAAGGTAATCATCAGTAGTGTATCCATGTCAACATCACTTAATTCAAGCGGTGGGTCATCAAAAGATAAACGTAAGGTATATAACGATGAAGATAATGCCTCTACATCAGAATCTGAGAAATGCTTGACTGATTGGCTTGGGAATTCTCCTTTGCTACCATCGTATGGATGTTCTTCAGCAAAGGACTTATCGTCAATGAATTCATGGAGATCATCAGGTAGCTCACATGTTAGTTCTGAAACTAGAAAATCTCGACAAAAAAATAAATCTAAAGTTTCACTTGACGTTTTTGAAGAAAAAACTTTATCTGTGGCAGTAAAAGAGAAAAAGAAGCAGAGCTATGAAGCTATTCAGAAGTTGCGGCGGAACAGCAAGCTAAGTTCGTCGCAAAACTGCACTCTCATTGATGTGAACAAAATCACGCCACTCGTTACACATATTCAGCTGGCCACTTCACCAAGAGCTACACCATCAGAGACGTTTGAAGGGAAAAAGAGGAAGCTTCTGCCAAGTCACGTCACCACATCGAGCGAAGATGAGGAAACATCAGGACTATCGTTAGTCAAAAAATTTTCGAGTAATTTTTGTGAAGACGGCCTTTCCGATATCCATGTTCTTTTCCGTGAAGCGAATGTGGAATGTGAATTCGGTTCGATTGATGGAATAAATTCTACATCGATCCATTATCGGAATAACCAATCCGTGCAAGCAAGTTCAGCATTATCTCCCTCACCAGTTTCTTCCGATGATGTTTTGAATTCATATTCACGGTCATCTTCTTTCAAGCCGCAGAAACCTACCGACAGCGAGGAAAACTCATCGGAATGTGAAATCAGCATCGATAAACTTTCAAGGATGTGTTTTGACCGATCGACATCTCCTGTCGCCCCTCGCTTGGCGCTTCCGCAGGACCAAAAAGAAAAAAGTTTGACGGGCCAATTTCGACGCCCGGCCTTCCATCTGTTCTCTCAAGCGGAAGATCATGAATATTCAGGGCACGGCTACTTAATTGGCTCCGCAGGAAAGACGGTTGAGGGTACATGTGACGATCTCCAAGAAGAAATCGAGAAAAGGCTGACCTTGTCTCGAAATTCAAACTTTCTGGATCTCAGTGAACTTGGGCTTCCTTTCTATCCGACGGCCGTTATCTGCGCCGACCTATCACATACCGAGGTGAGCAAAACGTGTGGTTTAACCCGTGCTAATAAATTTTTTTATATTGACTACTTCAATGAAATTTATACGCACATTTTAATGATAAAACAATCCAATTAAGTCATAATTGATGGTGGAAACTAACAAATTAAAACTAGTCTACATGATGAATATTGGTGATTTATAAAAATTGGTGTACCAGTTGTATTGCTCGACAGGAAACATTTCAATTTGAAACAATAGACAACCTTGTCGTCTTCACACCTGATAGTTGAAATATTTCTCAATTCGGCATTAGAACTTCAAAATGATGCGAAATAAATAATAACATTTATATTAAAAAAACATTAGGAATAATTCGATTTCGATTTTTTTCTATAAATAATAAAGGTGCATGATGAAGGTTCCTAAAAATTCCAGTGAGTGCTGTAGTTGATTGCTGAACCATTATTAAAGTTGAGTCAACTGACGACGCACAGAACTAAGCTGGAATTTTAGAACAGAGCATAAAGCTTGTGATTTTTGGGCTGATGCATGTCCATCTCCAGATTGGTTGTGATGTCATCCTCTTCAGACTGTGATCGGTTGTGGGATTATGATGTCATTCACTCTAGACTGTGATTGGTTGTGTATAATACGCCATGTGCACCATGGTTTAAGTAGTACAAGGTTGAACCATGAGAAGCTCATTTTCGCGGATGGAGCTTATTGTTAGCATGTTACGTCACTGATCTCAATGACATCACGGGCATTAACCAATCTCCGAAATGCGATCAAACCAGTCAACCAATCCGTCATGGGAATGACGGGTTTGTTTACGTTTCTCGATCTCAGTGACGTAACAAGAAAGCTGAACTGAAAGACGGAACTTATCGTGGGTCAACCTTATATAGTTCAACCATGATGTGTACTGGTTAATTTAATACCCCTTTAGGATTGCAGCCTGAAAAGAATCGGTAAAAATTTTAATTGAAGATATTTAACAGCAAATTTTAACGAAAATAATTGGCGGGAAGTAAGAGATTACAAAAAATAACAACCTTATTAAAATAACCGTGCATGCAAGGGGGGTGGTTTCGAATTTAATGTTGCGCAAAATTCCGCTAATTTCGTTCAATGAAGGGCCAAATTGCATCTTGAAGTGAATGACGTCATGGTGACGCATCACAATGAGGCACCTACAACGTAAATGCTGAATATCGAGTGAGAAAAAAGAAATCGGTTTTATGTAAATCATTATCCATTAATCATTTATAGCGGTCATTTATCCATTAATCAATTTAATCTTCAAAAATATGTTGATAACTAATTGCACTTCTCGCAATTATTTTATAAATTTGAAAAATCAATTCATGTCATTTATTAGATTGCTACCATTTTCATTAATACTGTCCTTCGTCTTTATTATAGGGTAACGTGGGGCAGCGCGCCCCCCACTTTTTTTAAACTAAAATTTTGACGAAGTTTTAATTGATACGAGTACACTTAGCAAAACGTAAATCCGTACACTTCATCCCAGTGAAACTGTCGACCGGCGGTAGAGAACACGGGTCAATATCTGCCATACTTAGCGAGAAACCCGCTATGGGCCCGTGACCCGCAGTGGGCTCGCTGCCCCATGTTACCCTAGATCAGGGCGTGAAGCGGCTTATGAGTTGTTAGTGTATAGTTGATTTACAGGCTCATGGTGAGTCCATCAATAAATTCTGAGCATATACGCTGTAAGTCCGGCAATTAGAATGAATTAAAATTATTGTCAATGACAGTGTTTGGTCTTGACGAGGATAAGCCGCTTTACAGCCTGAACCATTATAGAGATGAAGAACCGTACTAATAAAATTTGCAGGAATCTAATAAATGATAAGGATTGATTTTTAAAATTGATAAAATAATTACGAAAACTTCGATTAGTTGTTGACAGATTTCTAAATGATTAAATTAATCAATGGATAAGCAATCGATTAATGATGATAAAATTTGCCCAATTGTAACTTACCTGCAACAAATTTTCTTATTGAATCAATCTTAATTTTTTTAATTTTAGGTTAGGTTTGGCCGTATGATGACGTCATTCACGTCTAGATGCAGTTTGGCCCTTCATTGAACGAAATTGACAGAATTTTGCGCAACCTTAAATTCTAACCCCTCTGTCACGGTTAGCTCAATAAAATTGCTTAGTATACGGAATCCTAAGAGAAGTAAATCCCTTCTAATAATGATGGTATTTACCAACCACAATCTATGTTTCACAAGAAAATCGCGTTAAATCGACCAGAATGAGAACAACAATAATTTGGCGCTGAGTCTTCGAAATTCTTGCAACATCAATGATGCCTCACTAAAATCCCTATTTAGTGCAGCTCTGAGGTTAAAAGCCTTAAATTACAGACATCGTAAAGGCTCGTTTTGTTCTCGGCTTAAGACAATCGTGTCCAATTGGCCATCATCCAATAGCAGTCGAGCTTTCATTGCTTCCCTTGTCTGTCCGAAAGACGAAGCTTTCCATTGGTTGTCGTATTAGCGGATCACGAGGATTTAAGTAACACGCATCCTCTTATTGAAACATGAGAAGTTCTTTTCGTGCTAGGCGCCGTAAGATGGTCCGTTAAGGGAACGATATCAGGTCTTTTTTTCTGTATGGTGTCGTGTGGAAAGATGCGCTTGTTAAGAAATTATTTAATCGTAGAGTGCTTAACTTCATTCGATGCTAGGAAATAATTTTGGCTTATTTATAATCTTACTAGTTTGACTGAAATACAACGAAGCCAAGGTCTTACGTGAAAATACCAGACATGTTTTTTAAGTCAGTACCGTTTTGGAATTGAAAAATGACGTGAAAAGACATCGTAATAATTTTATTTTTACATGAAAGCCTGTGCTTTAAACTACTTTTCTACATAATTTCAGTGAATATTGAGGCACTTGTCATAACGTTTCACCAGTTTTTGAATACCCGCCTGATAAAACTCTGCCGCCTGACTTGTTAACCACTGCATCACAAATGTTTTGACTTCGTTATCGTCTTGAAGACGCCGACCGCCTAGGTGTTTCTTCAAGTGCAGTGTGATGCATTTGATGCAGTGTGATGCATTTGATGCCGTGTGATGCATTTGATGCAGTGTGATGCATTTGATGCAGTGTGATGCATTTGATGCCGTGTGATGCATTTGATGCAGTGTGATGCATTTGATGCAGTGTGATGCATTTGATGCAGTGTGATGCATCACGCTGCACTTGATGCAGCAAATGCATCACACTGCACTCTTCTTTTGTGAAGCAGTGGTTAACAAGTCAGGCGACAGAATTTTATCAGGAGGGTATTCAAAAACTGGCGCTACGTTATGACAAGTGTCTCAATATTCACGGAAATTGTGTAGAAAAGTAGATTAAGGTACAGGTTTTCATGAAAAATAAAATTATTGCGATATCTTTGCACGTCATTTTTCAATTCCAAAACGTTACTGACATGAAAAACATGCCTCGTAGTTAAGGGGAGCGTCTTGGTCCGAAAAAAACTTTTTTATTTACGGACGAATCACTTCGAAATTTGATACACGTATGTAAAACGCAATTCTAAAACTTTTTTGTTCATGTGAATTTTTCGAAAAAAAATTAAAAATAACGAGAAATTCTTAGAAAACGGACAAAAAAGGGGGTACTGTAGAAATATCAGCGGGCCTAGGATTTTCAAGCTACAACATCGAGACACGTATCATTCGATGTCAGAATGTCAGCTTTAAGATGAGAATAAAAACAGGAAAAGCCTAAATTGTTGATTTTGGACCAAGACGCTCCCCTTAAGGTTTAATAAGATAAGATTTTGGAAATAAAAATTTCAGGGAGAGATGATAACCAACCTTAATTTGTGCAACAATGAATCACAAAAATGCTTCATTTTATGTTTGGGTAATTTTTAATTTACGCAGGTAAACTAACAGAATGACATGCGCGTGAATATTTTTTTTCACATCACAAAGCTATGTTCGACAGCGGCACTACTACATCATTCCAATGCAGAGCTCGTTTTGGAACAAAAATTTACATTTTGTACAACAATACAACGTAACTTCCGTACATAAATGCCGCTACTTTCCGTTACTGCCGTAATGGAGTATATAATTTCCACATCAAAATCGATACGAATGAATCACAGTTGAACCAAAACCATGAAAACTACAACTTAATAAGAGAAAGAAATCTCGCCATCCTTACCAAAAAAGGATTGGCAACCACGCAGCTCTCGTCGAAATAACCTGAGATTAAATAAGCACATGGACTTTATGAATATTTATTTCTTGGACCTCAGCGAGTGAGCTGCATCCCATCTTTTTACCATCCATTTCCTTGCCTTGCTAAGCCAATAAGAGCGACTCTGAGTGAGCAAGAGGCTGGGTCACATGTCACAGGAGGATTGAATGACCGACCCCAAGAGACGTGGTAAAGCTCATTAGTTCTCGTGCTCTGCAGTCTGGAAAAACAATCATAATCGCAAAATCGAATCTAGTCGTATTTTCTACGTTGAGCTTATTTTTTACGATAGCCTTGATTAATTTTTGTTGTATGATCTGGATAAATTCACTGATATAACGTGTGGATAATTATTGAAGATATTTGTTTTAGAGGTAATATGAGCCCTTGATACTTCACTGGCTTGTCTTTTTGCCTTCTCTGACCGTCGCATGCCTGGTCGCCGTGAGCGGAGGTTGATGGCTGCCTGATGAGCAGTGCTCATGCTCGTTGCTGCTCACAATGTTCATACTGCCGGTCATGCTGACGGTCATGATTATTCTTGAGGCTAATGCTGATAGAACTCTGCTCTATGGGTTGCTATTCTTCGTGATATTCTCGCTGCTATTGTGCTCATTCCGTTTATGATAAAGCTTTTATTGATAGAGGAAAAGTAATCTGGGCTGTTGGTTGTACATATGTTACATATTTACAATGCTATTGTAAAAAGATCAACGAGATTCTCTTGCATGCATTGCCCTCCTCATACCAGCCGGTCTCCTTCCTTACAATTCACCCGTCCTCAATTCGCCATTTCTATCTCATCTGATTGCTTGTAGGGCTGCAGCTCGACTCTGAATATGAATCAAACTGATGTTGTATTGCAAATGAATAGTGACGCGTTGCTTGGGACGCGTCACTATTAAATTTAAACTGATTTGAATAATAGTTTCGTTCACTAAACTTTTGTTGTGAACTCGGTTTAGCCGATGTCAATTGTGGAAGCTAATATGAAGAGGGGAGCATCTGCCGTGCTCGGAGCTGGGAGATACAACTGAGATGGGGAGAGGAAAATATTCTTGCTGAACGATACATTTCACGTAGTTTTTTTAATGATTATTCTGTAACTTATGAAATAAAGGTAAAAATAAATATTAAATAAATTAATAAATGAAGTTAAATTAAAATAAATAAAGTTAAATAAAGTTCAATAAAAATGCTCGTGTCAGTAATCCACAATCAAGATGTTAAAATCCTCCCAAATTACAGAATCCTACTCATATGCCGCAATGCAGACTCGTTCTAAACGAACGCTCATTAACTAGACTTTCTGGTAACGACGGTCGGCAACAAATCTTTTTTTACGTAATAGTTAGCGTCGGAAATGTGGAACCACGAAGTCCTGGTCTGAAATTGTCACGCTCATCCGTCACAATCGTCGTGCAGAGGCACAAAGGCACTCTGATGATCGCAAACAAAGGTGTCAATTTGTGCAACGAGTTGGTCCATTGTTCCGCCTGATGGCCTCAGGTTTATTTGCGGAAACCATGCAGTATCCGCTCATCGACTTGACTGCGAATTACATGCAGGACATCTTTCGCTTCTTTATTTTTGGCGTCGTTTTCGTTCATGATTTTTTATATATGTTTTTGTGGTCGTTCAACTTTAGAATAATTTGTATTTTGTGTGCATGACCTATAGCTGCAGTGGCAAAAGTGGAGAAAGTTTGAAAAAAGGGCCAGACATTTTTTATGTTAAAATAATTGTATTTTTGTGAGTAACGTAAGCCGAGAGAGAAAAGTTGTTCGTTCAAAGTCGGTAAATACTGAGCAAAAACGGGTTTAGTAAATTATTCATTTCAATGTAAAACGTTTGATACAAAATATTTTTATTTGCAAATAGATTGGATTAAAAAAATATTTAAAACTTATTGTATACTTAACTACACTACTTTGAGATTATCCATTAGATCTTTATTTATGTAATGTTATCTTGCCACGACTATCGTCTGACCATCACAGAGAACTCAACCATCGAATAAAATTTCACATTTCTAGGACTACGATTCGATTTATATCAGATTCACTATATTTTCACGAGCCAACAAAGGTAAAAAACTTCGTCAAATCTTTTTTTATTATTTCTTCCAAATAAATGATTTAAAATGCAAAATTGAAGTGAATCCTCCTTCCCTAAATTAATCAGACGCATCGAAGGTTCCCCCTTTCCTATATCCTCATGTAATTTCCAACAAAATTCGTTAACATTTTAATTACAAAACAAATCGAGTTTCTCTCTTATCAGTATAATCAATTGAAGGGCTCGGATAACAGGTTTTGCTCAATACTTTTTCTCATCTCGCAGCGTCTGTCGATCTCTGACAACCAACTGGTTTCCTTGCCGACGCCGTCTCTGTCTCTGCTGCCGCGCCTGACGTGGCTCGACCTGCGCTACAATCATCTCTGTACTCTGCCCTGGTCAGAGCTCCAGCAGCTGCAGCAACTGCAGGTGCTGCTGCTGCAAAACAATTGCCTTCACACGCTGCCTCTGTCTTTAGGTAAGTTGAAATTCATTGATGCGGCTAAAAATTCAGTGATGAGGCTCAAAATTCACTGATGCGACTCGAAATTAAATGGTGAGGCATAAAATTCACTAATATATGCAATCAATTTACTAATAATAATACTAGTAATAAACAGAAAAACAGAGTATATTGACTAAATTGATAATTTTTTAAAACGAATTTGATGAAAATTTTTAAATAGTAATGATAGAGTGGCAGTGAATCGTAAATCGATAAAATTTATTTTCATGTTGAAAGCCCAAATTTATTCCGAAGACTTAGCGTCATATACGCCGATGAAGCGAAGTGCATACAACATTTACAACATTATAAATACGGCCAGCTGCTTTATATGCAACTTTAGCAGTCGCTAATTGAATATTATCATTTAATCATGAATGAAAATTCAGTTGCGCCCTTCAGTGGCCGCTGTAAAGAATCGTATGTAATAGAATCGTATGTATATTATCATCCGCCCGTGTATCAATCAATTCATGCCAAATTTCTCTCGGTCTGAGACCCCAAGAATATCTCCGCCGTGTTTAGAGGAAGATTTGTAGGCGGGCACGCATGTCTCGAGATTGCATTCCATCTCCAGTGGAGCGTAAGGAAGTGCAGCGAGGGCGATGACATGCCGGATTGCAATTCAAGGAACGCCCAGGACAATAAATTTGTTCGTGCGTGGAACCGGAAACAGAAAGAATAATCCGTTTTCAGTCCAATTTCTTGGAAACTCGCGTTCCTCTGAGTACATTACTCATGCATATTACATCCAGTCACCCCGCGCGAATTTGATTAAACGACCTCGCTTCTCAGAGACGTTTAAGATGCAAAGAGCGCTCGATGAAGATGAGGTTGAAAATGTACAAAAATGTCAACTGTCTGATTCAAGTTTTGGCCACCACGAAATTGTACCGAAATGATGCCCACGGTAATAAGGCGGTTTTAGGCCTAGAAAGCCGAGATTTGTAGGTTCAATCTCGAGAGCAAACGCGCAGCAGTATTGCGGGTGACATGAGAAGACTTTATTTCCGCGTTTATTTGCTAGAGCTGCTTCCTCCTTGATAGAAAACGTTTCATTTGAAGTCAGAATCAGTGGAAATTAAATCCAGATGAAAGTATGTCCTATGTGATACCATTGAGATGAAAGATGCTTTGCTTTTCCATTTTACATTAGAAACGAGTTTCTTTCACCAGAATGTTCAATGTTTATAAAATTTGACAATTTTTCGTTTTCTGATGCCTCTTTAATAAATTTGATAGAATTTTTCTGGCTGTGTATATATAAACGAGTTTGTCAGCAAAGAAGTAACATTTTAACTATCGATTTAAAATATTTATTTATCCAAAATTCCTTGAACGTGTGAGAGCAAATTTTCGCGTTTCTTGCTCAGCGTTATGAACTACTTAGTTTCATTTATGTTTTAAGGACAATTCATCAACGCATGAAATTTAAAAATTGTTTTTCCGTGTTCTTTTTAGCGGAACTTCCTAAGCTGATGACGCTACAAACTAGCGGCAACCCTCTTGTCTTCCCTCCAAAGCATATCCTAGAAGCTGGCACGACGGCCATCTTGAATTTTTTACGATCCCGCAATGAAATCCGACGCAACATTCAAAGCGGAGCCTGTTGGAGCCATGCTGATAGGTTTTGCTTTGAAAATAAAATGAAAATTAAGTTCATTGAACCAGAATACAGCAGTGACTCGGAAAGCGATTCTAGCTTCACCTCGAATCCACTTGAAACCCCGGCCAATGCTGCCAGTTCGTTACACGAATTTAATGAAGAAAATCAATCTGATGTGAATATAATTGATGTCTCAAATATTAGCCGCTTCTCTGCAAATGAGATAAAATCGCCATTTTGCACTCCTGATAGTGGACGAGAAACATTGAGGTCATTGGATCAACCGAGCACGCCAGCATCACCATGTTTATTAACACCAAACCCGGAGTTCCCTTCAACGGCCATCTTTTACGATGGTGATTGTTCGGCTTATGAGAATAGAGTCATATCCCCTACACGCCTACTGCACGATGACTGTTGTGTGCAACCCCAGCAAGAAAATGTTGAATTAAATCGCATGCTAATACATTTTCAAGGCTTGCTTGGCCGATGCACCGAAAATAACAGAACTAAATCTCAAGAGTCAGCTAATAGTAGCTTGTGCGGCATCCCCGTGAAACACAGTAGCAACTTTCGTAACTTGGAGCCTCGTATCCTGGAGCTGCAGACCCCAGCTATGAGGAACAACGAGAGTTCAAGAAAGCAACCTCATGCAGAGATGATGAAATCTACCTACAAAAATTTCAATCCTTGTGTTACGACTGTTGAAAAATCGCTAAAACATACTCGAAATAAAAATCAATATTGTACTGGCAGCCCCAGAAACCAATCGAACTGTGATCGTACTATGCAATTACCAAACATTTTCTTCAAATCCACCGGCTTTCAAAGACGCTGTTCAGACAGCATCGTTCCACCGAGCGCCAAGAGTTTGAACACACCTCATCACACGCCATCATGGAGCTCTCGTGAATGTTTGTCTAAAAACTACAATTTTCCGTGTTTTGCACAAAAAAGCCCCTGCTGCATCGAAAGAAGGCGAAGCTTGCATTTGATGATCGGTGAAAACTTCCTGAAATTAGACAAGGACGAGACGGACATGGACAGTGACAGCTTGGATGGCGACCTCGGCGAAGGCTGTCGGAAGCCATTGTTAGACACCAAAAGTGATCTTCAGGGAAATGGTACAAGCGACCGAAAACTGGTGTGTTTCCTTTTTAGTTTTTTCTACTTAGATTATGCATAATATAAAGTGCAGTTTTCAAATGGTTATTTTATGCTGCCTGAAGTCAACCACATGTCAAATTAATTTTTTTTTCATGCAGGCTAATTGAAACTCAAGTTATTATGTCCATTTGACCTTAATTGAACTACGGTTAAGATTCAGATAATCTTTTTTAAAAAAAACATGTTCAAATTAGCTACACGGACTTGAGTTATTAATTCTCAATACTTACGCTGTTTGCTAAATCGAAAAATTTTTGAAGAAAAAAAACGCTTTTTATTATTATTTTGAGTGTGAATGAGTAGAAAACCTAAAGTTAATGTCTATTTTGAGAGTAAATTTTTATTTCTGATTGAAAATTAGTGGGTTTGCACACAGTGGCCGGGTTCACACCATACTACCGGGCACGTGCCTGGTATATGTAAGTCTCGGTCCAGTCCAATATTCTTTAATACATTTCTATAGAAGCATTCACACCAGCCGTGCAAGGCACCTGCATGCCCATGGTTTTAACCCGGCCTAAATTGCTTAATTATTGCTCAAGACAAATCTAAATGTGATATAATTGTGAATGAGCAAAAAATTTGAAGTATGTATGAATGAAAATATGAAAATTATATGATGAAAGTGAAGTAAGGAAGGAGTAAATGCCGGGAGAAACTGAGTCAATCAAAACAAGTAACAGGAAATAAAGTTATTATAATTAGATGCAAGTGAAAAATTTATAAGAAATTGAATTAAATTTGATTTATAATGACGCAAATGAACCTATCAAAGTCATAGGCAAATCATGCCAGCTAATGCACGTGTGTATCCTACAGAGTGTAAGCACCTGCTCCGTGCAACCTGTGCTGGTGCCTCTCGAAGTCCCTTTTTCTCCTCCGCCGGCCATAAAATTGGCCGCAAAATGTAATCCTGAGGGCCACAATGGCCGGCAACCGCAAAGAAGCGCACTTTTACGGCCCAAGAAAATTCTTCAAAAGAAGGACTTTCCCGTGAATGCAGAGACCGGATCTAATAGCTCGGTATCCCCTCACGTGTTTGAGTTTAACCAGCGAAAAAATTCGATGAGCTCTCAAAAAAGAGAGCCAAGTGAAAAATGCTCTCGGCGGTATGGCATCATTGGTTCGGGGTGAGTCTGAGGTAAAGAATTTCCCGTCAGAAATGAATTTGCGAAATAGATAATTTTTTTCGGAAATGAAAATTATTCAAAAATTCTTCCGAAAGGCAGCGGCCATATATTTACAGTTTGGAATTTGCTGATATCTTCAGGTAGTCTCCTTTTGTGAAAATAAATATGCTTAATTTTTCAATTTTATGTTCTAGTATTTGATCATATTTCTCGCTGCTTCGCGACACGTGGTTTTGAGACCAAAATTAATTGAAATGAGAAGTGACATCGCAAGGTTTGAACTCCTAATAAATATAAAAATAGTCCTATTGAGTTTATTTCCCGTATGATTTAAATGTTATTTTGAACAATTTTTTTCATTTGATAATTCATTTGACTAGCACTTATGACTTACGAACTGACTAATGACTTATCAGGCTTAATAGAAAGTTACGGTAATCTGAAGTCAAACCTCGTACATAAATTATGAATAGTCCATTAAAAATTGTCAAGGCAGATTTTTACCGAAATAATTTTATTTTCGTGTGTGCACAGGTTACCGAAGTTACAGACGGTGGCGGCAGCGGCGGCTCAGGACCGAGCGAGAAGACGGGCAACAGCCGCCGCCAGCCGACAGGAGCGACAGCTGGGAGCTTTGAAGTAATTAACAATCATACACTTAAAAAATTAATTGGTTTTATTTTCCAAGAAATGACACACTTCCTTACCCACAGCACGAGCAGAGAGCAGACGTAGCACTGATAAGCCTCTTTTGCCGCGCCAGACTGGGTTTGAATGACCCAAATGAGGGCAAAAAGTGCACGACTGCTTGAAAAATTTCACACTCATTTCTCTCAGTGATATATGTCCACTTCCATAGGTTGCAGTGCTCTAATTGCACGTCGTTTAGAAGTCAGTCACATCTTTTTGATTAATTCGGTTAATTATTTTGAATATATTTGAATCGAAATAGTATTATTATTGTTTCTGATTCAATGATTAATAAATTAATTAGTCAGAAACACACAATGGGAATATTTTAAACTTTATACAGGCACGCTCGAAGTATTCAACACTGGAGGGAGGAAGCAGCGATGCAGCAGCAGCGTTATCGGGATCACTTTAATCCAGGTGAAAATTCTGTCATAAATGAATAATGTAATTTATGGAGAAGTTGTCCATACTATTATATGGAAAATGGAATATTTAAATAATCTTTTGTTATCGCCTAAGTGGAGGAAAGTAAATTCTGCAAAAAATTATTTTAATCCAGATATATAAGGTGTTATCGAATCTGTTATCCTGTATCAAATCTTTGTTATAATTAGTTTATTATTATAATTTTTTTGGATCCAGTCAGCGTGAAGCTCAGAGGTACTGATATTTATGACTGAATTGAATTTGTATGTACTGTATATACTCACAACAAATTCATAGACTCTTGCATCTGCAGCTCATGTATATTCCTCGTACACCGTACGCTGTTCTATTATCGTTTAGAGGCAAATATGGTTCAATCCTCCTAGGAGTTCTCACCGCGAGTTTTTTTATTAATTTCAAAACTGCCGTAGATTTGTCTATCACAGTGACAATGACGACGCAAAACACCAACGCTGGTCACTAATGGCAAGTTGTTACGCTGAGTTTCTTTAGCAGTTTTTTTCGGAATATAACTCGGGCAACTATAACTTCGGAATGTAACTTCACAAATATAAATTCACAAATATAAATTATTTCATCTTTGGATTCCCAATTTTTGCCTAATTCGCGCGCAGATGTTGGGAAAGTCAGAACAAGTTGGGATTTTAGGTTTTCAGGATTTTAGGACCATTTTAGCATCAGGCAAGGCCCAGTTTTAAATAGAAAGTTTTTTCTTTCTGGTGCATATATGTTCATTATATGTTATTTATTATTTAATGTTATTCAATGGAAACTTCGTTGTTTCAATTCCAACTTGGCATAGGCCACCAATTATCGAGAAGGAACAATGGAAGAGGCTTCATAAACTAATATCTATTCTTAAAGGAAGAGACTTTACAAAATTTTTAGAAAGCTGTGGTTAAATTAATAAAAAAAATTATTCACTTCATTCCCTTGAACATATCGAAGAGAACTCTCAAATAAAAATTTAAAAAAATTAAATTCTTTAAAATTCTTCAATTAAAATAACCTCTTCATTAATTTTTTTACCGAGAAAGTTTCTGTTTAACCTCAATAACCACACACATAACAATAAACAGTTTCTATGATCACTCCAAACTAGTATACTTTTTTAATAGATAATTTGTAGCATCCAACTCTAATTTCTTTGCTAGGCGGACTTTTTTTATAAATAAATGAAGCTCATCAAAAATTCCTTGTCCCTTGTTCACTAGCAGTTGTTAAACCTTTTTTTTTTTTAATTTCTGATGACGCGAGCGGTTCTCGAACTAAAAATATATTTTTTTTTAAATTTGGGATCAAATAAAATTGAGCAATTTATTCAGAAGTGCCCGTAGAAAAGTAGTAGACATGTTACGCCAATCATAGTGATTATAAACAATAATGTGCCTATCGTTTATATTTGCCAAATATTTATGTATTTTAAGTCTTTAAATATTTAAATACATAAAATTTTTTTTAAATATTTGAATAATTTAAATAGGTAAATATTTTCATATTTGCCAAATATATATCAGAATTTTCCTTATTACATGCGAAAATAATAATCTTCAACTGTTATAAATTAAATTGCAGATGAATTTATACCACCAGTTCTACTATCACCAATCTTCCCTTCTATCGAGTGTCTCAGCCCGAGATCCAAGTCCAAGGTAAAGTTAACATTTTCGTTTGAAGAATTTAATATAAGTTCCTTAATGTTCCAATACTCGAAAATTTCAATCACAAATAACGGGTGGAAATTGAACGCAATTTGTATTTTTGGAAATCATTTTATACATGACTAGAAACTTTAATCATACATTTATCGATATCGGCAAAAAGAATACATTGGATTGAACGTGTAAAAACTAAAAGTGGATTTATTCCTTTCAGTTGAACTATCTGATTAATGTTTTACTAAACTGCATCAAGGCTCGGTAAATTTAACCATGACTGTACAATAAGGCATTCGAATTTTATTTCAATTCATCTCCATGTTGAACGCCTAAATGATTTCATGATGAAAAATATATCTAATGCCGATGAAAAAATGAAGCTAAAAAATTCTTAAATTCATGGTAGTTCTGCCCCTCATTAGCTTAAATAAATTATCATTTATTTGCTTCCACAGTAAGAAATTTACTTATTAAACTGTAAAATTAATTAAATCAGACACTCTCTAAATCAATTTCGGGGAAACTCAACGAATCTTCGTAGGAAATGATCGAGCACGAGTATAGTGAATGCGAGATGCGGCTAATATACATGTATATGGCAAGTTTAATCTATGAGCTAATTAAAAGATGACCGCGTCATATGTTGCCATGCTTGGAACACAAGTAAATCAATCCATACTTTATGTAGAATTTATGACTGCTTGAATGTAATTTAAAAAATGAATTTAAAATAATACAAGCCCATAATTATCTTATTTTAAATAAATAATGGTTCTATATAAGTAAAAATGACTGAATACAACACTAATGAAGCGTGCATCGAAAGTATCATCAATAATTAATCTACTTTTTTTTAATTACCAACGATAGGCCCTGCAGCTGATGAGTGATGACGGATCGCTGGCTAGCAGGTGAGATTGCGTTTACAGTTCTAATTAACGATAACATTTGTGAACAATTTCCTCCGCTAATTGTCAGCTGCGCAGATTAAAAATTATTCCAGTGATGATTGCTAAATCTTCGAATTCCCTGACATTAAATGGCTTTATATTTTATATTAATTAGTTCTCGCAGCTCAGCTTAGTTTTAATATATGTATGTAAGATTATATGAATTAGTTTGTAAGTTTCCTGAAAAAGTTCTTAAAATGGTGAACCAATTTCGACACATTATGAAAATCTTCTCATTAACTCATATTATTTATTTTAAAATTTGATAGTATGTGCAATAGCATTCAAAATTTGGAGCTTAAAGTCTTCGTTGGAACATTTGAAATATTATTTTCTTCCAGCATTAAGAGATTGCTCAGATTTAAGAAAATTCAGTAAATGCATGCCTTCTACACTTTGCTCATTTAATCTAATAAACGTGTGTTTTCCTATCTTTCCTAAGAACTATGTCGGCGGATCAAATTCTACAAGAAATTCAAGATTGTTTGCAAATTCTTAATTCAAAATATGCATCAAAATTGAGCAGCCAGATCCAAAAACTTGGAGGAAGCAAAGTTCTCTTGGACAAACGACCTCTGCCTTACTCAGGGACCGACCAAACTTGCATTAACTCTATCTCAAATTCCATGAAAACTTGCGAAAAACTTTTTGCCCCCGAGGGGAGATTCGACAAGAAATCAGAATCTTCCAATTTCCGAGGCCATCGCAAACTACACGAAGTTTCAAACTGCATTGGAACTGAACAATGCGATTCGAAGTTTGGTTCGAGCGACCTTGATTCGAGTGTGCAAGCGCCCGACCCAAGCCGACACGATCAGGACGGCGGCGAATCAAAAGACCACGAAGGCGAAAACACGAGCCTTAATGTGGAAGCAAAGCTAAAAGTTTGTCAGCGTTTAATGGAGCTTCAAAAACACCTGCTTCGCTATAGAGAGAATCTTAATTACAGTTGAAAAGGTGAGTGGGGGTTAAACTTCTGTTTATGTGAGTTTTCCTCTTGGTTGAGCTCAACGTAATGAGCAACTTGAACAGAAATTTAAAGTCAATAGATTTCTCATTAGGTTCACATTTTTCAATTATTATCGAAAGCTAAATTCTTTTAAACAATGTTGATTTATATTTTAATGAGTCGCATTGGAAGAGCCTAGCGTAATTTTTGCTCATGAGAGTTTCGATAATACATATACGGATATACATACATCACCTGCAAGTTTACTTATTGAAGTCTACGGAAAAAAGTCCGAAATATTTAAGTATCTTTTAAGAAACCAGTATTCACTCGTGCCAAGATTCACAAAAAAAAATTTGAAAACAATTTCTAGGAAAATAAATTCGTACAATTCACGTTAATTTATTTAAACTTGAGGCGAAATAGGCTATAATCATCTTTCGATCGATTATTTGCGAATTTCATTTTCATTAGACTAATTACGCTAGAGTGCAAGATCATTATAGATTATACCAACTAAATTTAATTCATTTTGAGAACGCTTAGACATTTATGAAAAGAGAACCACGTAGGCCCGAACAGAAGTATACCAAATAAATTGTAATTGGCGCTCTTCAAAACTAACGTCCATTTGTTCATACAGTGATCACATCAGAAATTAAAATAAATTCCCATGTGAATAAAATCATATTTCTATTTTATTTTACAGAAATTTTGTTCTTTTATTCAATGTAAATGCTGAATACATCAAATATAATGCACCTTCTATTATTATTACAGCCTCAATTCATCCACAAAGTACCGAGCGGAATTGAGAGCTCGACAGTCGCTCCAGCATACACGGAATGAGCAAAGGATTTCGTAGAAGTTGTCTGCATGCAGTTATCATTCCATTATTGATATGGTTAATAAATCAAAAAAAGCTATGTGAACATCTAAGCAGTAAGTGTTCAACAATTAAAAGATTGTGCATTCACCGAAATTGAATCGGAAGTTCACTTATTTGTGCAGTCCTATTTTAACTAACAATGAGGCACTGTTCAAAAAGTGAAAAATATTTTCAACAGAAATGTGAGTCGATAGTGGAGGTGTTTTGTTCAGTGATGGCTTAGGCAGATGGGTACATGGTGGTGAAACCTCAACATGGCAGGTCGTGAATATTGGGTGCAACGCAAAACCTGATAAATACGGAGTGTTGGAGATCAGTCAAATTTTCCGATCTAACTAACTTGATAAGTTAGTTAGATTAAAGTTTTCTGTAGTTTTCTTTACATCTGCTGATGATAATTTAGTATAATTAGCCATAATTTAATATAAACTTAATTATTGATGATAGCTTCCTATATACAGCGTGTTCTCTGTCACCAATGAGATTTATTCGAAACGTGTCGCAGAAGTTTTTACACGTTAAAAATACACTAAGCATTTATCAATATAGTCGTTTCATTGGATTTTTCCTCGAGTGAAAACCATTCTGCCACGCTTCTTCAACGCGGAGTCACAATCCAACACGGCGCACCCACGCGTCTTCAACCCTGAGTTACAACCCAACACGACGCACCCACGCTTCTTCAACCCTGAGTTACAACCCAACACGGCGCACCCACGCGTCTTCAACCCTGAGTCACAACCCAACACGGCGCAACCAAGCTTCTTCAACCCTGAGTCACAACCCAACACCGCGCACCCACGCTTCTTCAACCCTGAGTCACCACCCAACACAGCGCACCCACGCTTCTTCAACCCTGAGTCGTCACCCAACACGGCGCACCCAAGCTTCTTCAACCCTGAGTCACAACCTAACACGGCGCACTCACGCTTCTTCAACCTTAAGTCACAACCCAACACGGCGCACCCACGCTTCTTCAACCTTGAGTCACCACCCAACACGGCGCACCCACGCTTCTTCAACCCTGAGTCACAACCCAACACGGCGCACTCACGCTTCTTCAACCCTGAGTCACAACCCAACACGGCGCACCCACGTTTATTCAACCCTGAGTCACAACCTAACACGGCGCACCAACGCTTCTTCAACCCTGAGTAACTCCGCAGGCTTGTTAGCGCCGAGTGTCCACATTTCACTCCCAGAAAGAACGCTCGCCTGTCGCCTCATCAGCGACCGCGGCAAAAAGGTGAAAAATCACGTGAGCGGAATTGCAAGATGAAAAAAAACAAATGCGAGCTCACGCAGCCACGCGAGATCGTTCATAAGTTCCATATGAAAAACAACAAATCGGCGAAAATTTGACGCTGGTTCCAATGAACGAAACTGATAATTTGTTTATATTCTTCTTCAGCGTTGTGAACAATTTAAGGAAAATAATTGTGTTGGCCCATGTACCTAGAAAAAGATTCGTTTCTGTAACGTAGGTCTTGGTAACGTGCATCACAATATGCTGAAAAGAAGTTAGCTTAGTTGCCCGATCAATACTTTCTTTGCTCATGTCATCTTGAAACTGAAGTCAATCTCGACTTTTATAAATACTACAAGGTATATAAATACGCTCACAAGACGATAATTAGTTTTATTATAGATCCCATTAATTAGGAACCTCATTGAGACCATTAACAGCAAGTATAAAGTTGCGGAACTTGAATACATTCAACGAGAAGCTAAGCTGCAACAATTATTGACTCTAAAATATTAACAATCTTACATGATGAGCGACAATTATACTTCTACACGCATTCAAAAAATTCACTACGTTTTGAGTCAAAAAAGTTATTCTGACATTTATTTATTAATCTAAATTAGTGACGGCAAAAGATTTTTAATGTCAGTACATATGAATACTTGATCAAAATTTGTTCATTTTATGACGGTTAAAAATAGAATCGTTCTGAATTGAAACCATCACTGCTTCACATCGGAATCAACCTTCACACTGAAGGAATATTCAAGGATGAAGATTTCACCACGTCGAGTGTCAGAGAACACGGAAGAAATAGGGCAGAATCTGAAGCGCTTGAATGCAATTCTGTGTTCCGAATAAAGGACACACAACACAAAACTCGAGCAATCTTTTAGATACTCGCAACATAGTGTTTACGAATACTATCAGAACCAATGATGACAGAGGCGCTTGATCAAATAAATACATGAGGTATAAGGGTTTCGAAGAGGTGGTACGACCAATTTGTAATACGAAAATGAAAAAAAAACACAGTTGGATAGTTCACCTAACGCACAAGCAATATCATTCGAAATCAATTCACATTCCAAAGTTTTTGCTTGCTTACATTTTTCCAAAAAAAAACCTTCGACGGTCCTAGTCAAAATATTTAGATTTTGCAACGATAATAAAGGAGAATCGCATAAGGCCAGTTCGTACTCTACTAACTTCAGGTGTAACATTGCCTAGCCTGATGAAGAATAGTGCAACGTTACAGATCGATGTAAAGAATAGAGCAACATTATAGAACGATATAAAGAATAGAGCAACATTATAGAACGATATAAAGAATAGTGAAACATTACAAATCGATAAAAAGAATAGAGCAAGTTTTTTCAGCTGAATGCATTAAAGTTTCGAGGGAGCGTCCACTCGTTCCCAGCTACGAGTTCGGCGCTGCGCTTGGCAAGCATGACAAGCCATAAGAGAGTTGCGACATAGGAAAAAGTTGGCTAGTTGTGTTAAATTTCTTTAATGAAAATAAAAACGTGGAAGCAAGGGTGGAATGAACCATGAATAAATAGAACATTCACACAATATTAATTGCAAATACTCGCATGGTGAAGCAGAAGTGATCGCGCAAGCAATGATCCGTATTATGCGAGACAAATTAAGGCGAAGAATGTCAGAAAACAAGTTAGAGTTGTAAGCTGAATGGAACGGATAAATGGAATAGAATAACAACAAAAAATATTGATAAAAGATAAGTATATAATTGAGACGAAGGTTTCCGGACTTTCGAATTAATACGTTAAAGCTTAAACATTAACAGAAAATTTCACAACAAGACAGATGATTAATCGTAATATGTTCTATTAGCTTCATTTGCGATAACTTGAGATGCAGCCGGTCATAGTATAATCTCGGGTCCAAATGCTATGAGAAGAAATAATTTACTCTACGGAATAGTTCAATAATTAGATTACGATCAATAATCGTACAGCAATTTTATTGTCCATCACATTAGAAGTACTTATTGTCACAGGCAAAGATCATCAATAGGATAACAACCGAATACTTGAACAGAAAAGACACAAAAAACCTCGCTTTAGGACATTCGATAACAAAATTCAAAAGAGATTCATCATTGTCAGGGCAGGAAACTATGGATTCTAACATAACCGCATGCAACGATAACCGGCATCAAATCGTCAAATAATGAAAGAAATGATTGCAATTAAAATTCATCTTAGAAAAATTACATGCCGACGCAAGGCCGCCGACGTAAGGAAGTCTTAACAAGAACACGCTTTCAACATTAAGAACAAGCACTGAAATGCTCGTATGGAATGCAATTGTTTCCTCGGACGCAAGAAACATGAATGGACGCGACATTATGCGACTTTGAGGGCATTTGCTAACTTTTTGTAAGCTAAATATCCGTAGGAATGACTTTAAGTAACTAGAACGTATTGACTGCGAAACTCGGCTGTCCGAAATTCCAAACGATTACGAGCTTTCAACAAGTTTCATTGAAAGACAACACCGCAAGGCCTGATTGGTGACACACGAACTATGAACACTTATTGTAACAAATTAATATATCATCGATTGACTAAACGCAGGTAAAATAAAATAATTGAATAACTGACGTATATGAATGGGGAGAAAAAATCTTCAAAGCTCTGTATGCAATTATCCTTAATGAAAATTAACTGTGTATCAACACAGGTGTGAGACACAGATCTATACACGTCTCCCAGAAATACATAGAATAACCTAATATAAATGGGAATGAATCAATACTAAAAAACAAAGTTAATTAATAAGGTCATTAGGTTGTCTAGAAACGAACAATCTGCGTAAGTTGGGTCCAGATTAACAAAATTTTTACGAGTCATGTCAAAGTCCCACTACTTCGATTTTTTTTAGAAGATTTAAACCCTTATTTTTTCATGCGAACAATCAGGGGTACGAAGCAAGACTTCCAGAGATGCGCGACTATCATATTAGAACTGGAGCAAAATAAAAAAAGGCATGACAGTCATATCAGAATAGAGGCCAATATAAAAAAATATATAACTCAGTACTCACTGCAGTGAGTGACAGAGAGCGCATTTTCTCGTCGACGAAAACTTGAGGTCACGGACAGACGGACGGACGGACAGACAGACAGACAAGACAGACAGACAGACAGACATGGCGAGCACAATAGTGCATTTTTTCCATAAATGAGAAAATGCGCTAAAAACAAGCAGCCTTATTTCCAATAGTGATCAAAGGTCCGTAGTCTCAGCAACAACATCCTTATATTCCTACCTACTGTAACTGGTCATGAATGTACGTACATTAGGTCAAAACTACAACGGCTGAACGCGCTTTATTTTACCGATATTATACGAGACACAGAGAGACGTATTTCAGACATATTTATTGATTCTTCCATTGATTTTCTTTAACCACACGTTCCTACGAACACAGGAATTTTAAATGAATTTAATAAGCGCTATCTTATCAGCGAGCCGGAAAGCAACATATACAAAATTACAAATCTGACATGACGAAAGTGTTAACATTCACAGAAAGGGAAAGAGCAATTCTGTATTGGCTAGTAGAAGAATCCCTATCTAAACAATTGAGTATCATGATCTGGGGAATTTTAAAACTAGTGAACTAAATCAACTATTCAAGTAAACCTAGGAAGAATAGTTAAGTAAACGTAAAGTCCTTCCAAGCACACATAAAGGCCATTGCTATTAAAGGGTCACAAAATATTGACCAATAGAACTAATATTACTCAAAATAGTAGCATTACTTGCTGAAAAAAATACTTCAGTGCTATAAATAATACTACTATTTTCTATTGACAATTGATTGCCTATCTACAAAAAATAGCTTAGAATATAGCGCTACCAAATACGTACACGCGATCTACTAAGCTGAGATTGTCTGGCCTTCGTTATTGCTTCAGCGTTTCTTGAATAATTCAATGTAAATTCATATCTCGCAACCAAGTGAATACAAATCGCAAGTAATTTACATGCGGTGGTTTTTTTTAGTTTTAGTAAACAAAACCTATGAATTAATTCCAAAAATTTGGCTTGGCAAAATAAATAAGATAATTAAAACTTCATGAGCATCGTTTTAGGTAATGACGAAAATTAAATTTGATTTTTTCCTATGCAAAATTCAATGCTATCACAATTATTAGTTTTTACTCAATCAAATCCACATTCGTTAATCTGATAAATTAATTAGATTCGAGGCTTGGAAAAATAATAACTAAATGTAAACAACCGAGAAACTATCGGCGAGCTTTACTGAGAAAATACAATCAGAGACTAGGAAAATCGACGACTAAATGCGCTAACTGACCAAGTAATCAATCGTGTCAGCTACACAAGTTTTAAAATGCCCAAAGGAATACAACGAACTTCAGAATTTTTTTTTCTAGAAATTATTATTGAAAAAAACGCAAAAAAATTTTTAATAGTAGAGGCAAATCGACTTAACAATTGCCAACGATGAACTCAACTTATCCGAAGCTGTTTAAACTTTCAGAAAGTTAACCAATTCAGGTAAGATTGTCTTAACTGGGAAGTAAGTCCGTGACCGGGAAATCAGTGAGAGAATGACCCATAATTATTAAAGAAAATATGGCTTTTCTGGATAATAAAGAATTTCCATCTTAATGAGCAAATATAATACGAAATGCATGCGTGACGGAGCAATTCCGTGAATTTTTGGGAGAAAAAATTCTTTAGATAGTAACTGAAAATTGCAGAATCGCCATGGTGGAAGCTCGATACGATCAACGAAGTGAGATACCAGGAGAAAATATCAAGCAAAATCTGGAAGAAATGAATAAATCGGCGAATGAGATACGACTTGAGCTTGCCCTAAATGTAGCACAAGACATAGAAATTATTTAGTGTAGTAAGACTATCTAGAAGTCGCCATTCGTGTGTGACGAATCTAAAGACACATGAGCGAAGTGAGCGCAGCGTGCACAATAAGCATGGCAAGATGAGTTACGCGTTGCACAGCTCCTGATAACGTAACAAAATTAACACATTTAGATGGCATTAAAGAAAAAATTTTGACCCAGAAGAAATACCAAAAAATTTATGCACTGGAGGCATCTATAAAATATAGATGCAAACTGTGTCATTCTGTACAACTATATTGACATTCAGACAATAGATGACTTAGCACCGAAGTCCAAAGGTAGCAAAGCGTGTCTAGGTATTTGAATCAGAAAACATAATCGTCAACACTCCGCGTACAAATAACTCCGTGTACGCAAAACTAACTCGGTGCAGATACTCATCTATAATTAAATCTCAGGATGAAGACCACACGAAACAGAGATAAGTATAAAAAATATAAGATTAGACTTAGCAAGACTGTTCACTGCCTCAATGATAGAAGTACAAGCGATCGAAAAACGAGTGAACTGAATAAGGCATGACTACTAAGCAATATGAATTTTGCGGTTGGCGTCACGACATCAAAAAATTGACTTGAATATGAACTGCGAGTTTAAGGAGAATGTCGGGAATCGATACAAGTACAAAAATAAGTACCATTCGAGTTTCATGCGACTTAAATTTGGTACCTAGATTTGTATCGGACGTTTTTAGCTTGGTGTTTAATACTTGAATGTAATTAGGCAGAAGTACTAGCGCCGAATGCTGGATGTCAATGTTGATATAAGTATATATGCCTGAAGAAACCGAAGTAACACGCGGAGTGTCTAATGCCTTATTGCAGTGACGTAACACGTTGTAATGAAGATAAAATTTCGAGTTCTTTGTTGGTAAGAAAATGGAATGGGAACACAATGGAATCATGGAAAGAAAATATAATGGAACAAAAATATGAGAGATTGGAGACGAGGAGAAGAGAAAGGAAGAAGTATCGAATAGATGGGAACTTCTACCGACTTCTGGAGTGACACTACAAACTCTAACGACACTTCACTTTAATAGTTCAACTTTTTGCACACTTCAGACATTCAAAAGGAGACTCGATCCGAATATCATGATTAGACAGTCACCTATAAATTGTTATCTTAAGACAACATGATAAACACAGGACAGCAGAAATGAACACGCACGTAAACACAAAAACAATCTACAAACAAGTGACCATTCGTAGCTATGGTTAATCTCTACAGATGAATAAATATGAATCATAATACTAGGGCTTGGAAAATAATTTGCGTAGGATAGCGCGCTATACAGAGGTAGGATATGAGACTACATACTAGTAACGAAGTTAAGTAGGATCATCACAGCAATATAGATGGTAACGCTACAAAGAGAAACGGTTAAGATGCTCCGTGCGATGCTCGTCTCCGGATATGGAATTGTTTACTGGCGGGAGGATAAATTCTGGACACTTGACAAAGCGCGGACCCGAGCGCCAGGCGATGGGTCGGGGCTCTGTCAGGCACGCCTTCGTCGGCCTCACCGAAGCCCGGCAACTGCACGACGACCGTAACCACGGCAGCTATTCCGTCGTCTGTGGGTTCTATGGCCACCGGGCCCACTTCCCAGTCGGATGTAGTATTATTAGATCGTTGTTGCAATTGTTGGTGCTGCTGCAGCGCAACTTGTTGCAAGGAATCTTTCTTGCCGAAACCTTTTTTTCGGCGACCGGGAGACCAAGGGGAAGCGGCGTCCGGCGGCGCAGCCTCGCCGACGTCTTTGCCACTCAGAGGCTCAGAGTCCTGAAGCACCAGAGTGGTAACGGCGAAAGGACGACGCGCCATATGCAACATCTCGACCACGTGACGCCGACGGGCTCGACGCACATCAAAGCCTTGTTTGATCTTCCATACAACAACACAAACTGCCAGGAAAAGGAAAAAACACGAGAAGAATACAGAGAAGAAGACAAAAAGATCAATACGAGGCTGGTCTTGTCGGAAGTATATGGATCCCTCCGAGTCTTCGCCATCTTCGCCCATACCGACAACGATGATGTAAAACCTGGCAGACCTGAGATCATGGCCGTTCTGGGGCAGCGTGATAACTAGGCGATTTGAAACGTTGTATACGATGAGGATATCTGTCGGGTCCTCAACAGTAATAAATGTTTTCAGCCCATTAGCCTTTCTCTCCAGGAGTCTATATTCAGGATATATGGTGCTGTTGTTCACAGGAAGTTTCTTTTGGCTACTGCTTATCACCGACACGGATGGATCTTTGGTTAGAGAAGAAGCAACGTTAATAATGTCGTGCATTCCAAGGCCATTGCCGATGTAGTTGCGATTCTGAGCTTTGGTGACAGCCATATAGGTAGGACGGTCTTGCTTGATGCGATAATTGCGATCAATTTCGACTTCATGTTGCCAAGAAGTCTCGTTGAGTTTCACTAAAAATGCATTATCTTCAGAACTGAAGTAGACCTTCACCCTGCCTTTCGTGATGTCGAGTACGAGGCGGATGTTGACGTTCATGAACTTAGGCTGAACTCCGAAGAAGACAGTCTTCCCGGAATGCAGGAGTGTCCTTGGTTCGCCGTCGCAACGCGCCTGAGACTCGGGATCGAGACAATATTCTTTCTCAACCAACATCTGGAAGTAGCAATGATGCCCTCCGCTTGGCGTGCCTACATAAGCATCTTTGCATTTAGTGCACTGCTTCTTCTGGCAGTCTTTGTCCTCGTCTTTGCCACTTGGTCTATCTTTGGCCTTGCCCGAGCACGGCGACGCCGTGTTGTTGGTGCACTTGCAGTTGTCACCCCAAATTTTGTCACAATATTTGGAGTGGCCGTTACACTCACAAGGACGACATGCGTCTTGGTAGTCAGAAGAGCCTCTGAAAAATCCATCCAGGCAAGTCTCACACCTCTCACCCCAAGTATTATTGGCGCAATTATAACAAATGGCTTTCCCTGATCCGCCGTGACGTGGCGAGTCAGCTACAGGTATCATAGGCGAGGCGCTAGCAGAGGGCTCTCTTCCTACTGGATAACACTCATTGGTGTGCTGGTTGCAGTAAACGAAGCAGCTAACGCAAGCTTCACCTTTCGTGGGATCGCCTACAAAGAAGTTTATGCATCTCTCACACTGATCTCCTTCGGTATTGTTGTGACACTTAATGCAATCGGTGAGTCGGTCAGGACCACGACAATCAGAGTGCCCGTTGCACTTACACTTGATGGAACAATTGAATCCAACGTAGCCGAAGTTACAAGTACAATTATTGGGCTCAACACAAACACCACTGACACAGCCCTCTTCGCACACGGGTACGCAAGTGCCGTCATCACTCGTGCTGTAGCCACTAGCGCAGCGGCAACTAAAACCTTCAGGTTCATCAACACATTCTTGTGTGCGTGGGTGGCAGTTGTGATGCCCGCTACGACACTCATCTTCAGCCGGACACTTCAGATAATTCCAGGACACATCAGGCAGAGCACCACCAGGTGAAAGATCATGTAGAATAATTACGGAAGAGTTCATCAAAAAAGGATTGTAGTCCAAATCATTGCAAGCTTTGGAATCCGGACTATCCAAACCACCTTCGTGGCATATCCCTAGGCCTCCAACAGAGGTGTTGAGAGCGCACCAGCCACACTGAGGATGCTCGAGGCAAGAGGAACAGGTGCTGTAGCTAGCACATAGCGAAGGGCAGGGAGGCTTCTGCAAAAGAAATCCACACCGGCCACCCAGGCACCGGATAGGTACGTAGCTCGGTGACATGCAAGACTTGAGACTTTCTGACCAGTAGCAGCTTTGCCAACCTCCCTCAGATCCATGGGACTTGAGACAGTCATTACATGAAGTGTGTGCATGACAGCGGATGGGACAGGACTGAGGTGGCGTGGCTTCAACAACGAATGACGAGTGATTGAGAATGCTATTATCAACGCAGTTCCAGTCATAAACAGGTTTAAAATTTAGCGTAAATGTAGCGTGTGATCGCATCACTTGGCGCGTCCAAATACAATGTTTCAAGTCATTGCATTTGGTGCAGTCAGAGGCAGCACATGATTTCTCTGGGCATTGGTCAGCATTTTCTACAACCCTCGTGTCGTTGAGGTCTGCTTTGTTGCTTCCTTTCTCGCAAGCATTCTCAGTTACGCAGTTATTGTCTCTAGGAATACATTTGGTTTTATTGCAGTGGTGACACCATTTACACTTCGACTTGCTGCCTGGAACAGCAGGATACTGAGCCACGCAGGCAGCACAAGACGTGTATTGATAGCAATCTTTTTGCAAAAAACTGGCGTCACAAACTTTTCCAGGTACGACACCTCCCATGGGGCCAAAACATTCGTTCGGCTGATGTTTGTTGCGGTTATTACTGTAGCAGAGCGACGAGTTCAGGCCATATTCACTATAGACGACACAGTTAGCACAGCCTATGCGGTCGCGACACTGAGTTTCATTTGCATTGAGCGTGCATAAATCTTCCGGAACGTGGATGCTCATCAAGCTCCCATGAGAGACACCATCGTAGCCACCGTATATGTAAGCCGTGCCTTCGTAAGCTGCTGATGCTAACCCCAGAAGAGGTGGTATGTGTGGCCCTACTAAGGTTATAAGGTACTGGTTAAGAGGAATCCACATGTTGCACTCGTACGAGTAAACAATGAGAGTTTGATGCGAGTCTCGTGGTTCTTCCACGTAACCGCCAATGATGAGTAAATAATCGGAGCTTGTGACCGCCGTGTGAAAGACTCGAGGTGCAGGTCTTGATGATGGGTTGCTGTTGATCTTCTTGTCGGGTGGTAGCACAGACCAAACTTTGGTAGGATAGTGAAAGGCATAAAGCTCTCCCAAAAGCGTCACTTTGTCTACGTTATAAGTGTAGCCTCCGTAGACGTAAAATACGCGATCTTTGGGGTGATACACTGTGGAATGTCCAAATATACCAAGCGGGGCGGTGCCGGTTGTCTGTAAAACAGACCAGACGCCGGTATCAACACGGTATTCCCACACGACATCCAGAAATCCGTACACGTCCGACACACCGCCTATGAGGATAAGCACCTCTTTCTCGCCATCATTGCAGTATGTGAGGCTATGTCCAGCAACGGGAGGTGGTAGCACGGAATCTGAAGAGTCACCGTTGAAGCGAGACGCCGAGGGGGGAACGCTGAGGAGGGTCCAGCCCTCGTGGTCTACACTGAAGCTCCAAAGGTCCCCCAAGTAGCGCTGCTGACTCAGACCTCCATAGATGAACATAGCGCGCGCCGAGGGCACGTACGCGGCTGAGTGGAAGTAGCGGTGAGGCGGTGGCTGGTGCCCAGGCTGTACTGTCACGGTCACCTGCATACCAAATGTTATTAGATTTAAAGACCAGCTTGTACTCAAATGACCGAACAAAATGGATGTTTTAGTATGAATAGCGATGATAGAAGAAGTCAGCCCCCAAAAAAACTCATAAATCAGTACAATGAAAAATAATTTCCGTTAGCTGTGTGCGAAATTATTGTAAAGGAAAGAAATAAATCCTAACCTCGACCCATTCACTGGTCTTGGTGTCAAACTGGACCACGTCGTTGAGAGGTCCTCTGGAGAGGCTGTAGCCGCCAAAGAGCCACAGCACGCCCCTGTGGTCCGACAACATGGAATGACCAAAACGAGGCAGCACCGTCTGTAAGTGCTGCTGGGACGCAGAGCGCACTTTGTGCACCTCGAACAGCTCTTCCACCACAACCTGTGAACGCCAGATCAACGTCAAATATTCTATCATTAGACCAAACTTCAGCTATACAGAAAGCTACCAATGATATTGTTGGAGGATAATTCACAGTAAACAAAACAGCATTTCTACTTAAATTTTTTTAAAAATTTTGAAACCTAAGGATATTCAAATTTAATACTTTCACAGAAATCTTCTCTAAAATAAATTCAATATTTTCCTGCAATGATCTTGAATTTATTTTACTACTGCAGCGTACATGTGTAACACAGAACAACTGCGTCAATTAAGTATAACAATAACTATAAACTTAGAAAATATGAAGTCCCGAAACAGCATCACAACGTCTGCTGGATTTCCTACAAATTTTGTCTTTAGTCGTTCAGTCCAAGTGCAACATCAGCTAGCATTCATAATCAAATTGTCGCATGCATGGCTCATGTATTAGATATTCATGGAAGTTACCGCTGATCAGACCATGTGCAGCTGAATATCGCTATCGAAAAATATAATTATCTTTTTTGCCATAATCCAACCATTGTATACGTGGCTCACATATTAGGTAATTATGGAAGGCGATGCTGATCGGATTATTTCATGTGTGGCTGAATCTTACTGTCCAGATATCAAATTAGCTTTGCTGCCGTGATTGAATTATCGTATACATGGCTCATGTATTAGATATTCATGGAAGGTAATATGGATCAAACCATGTGTGGCTGCTTGTTGATGCCGCAGTTGTGGCCGGTAATGTGGTCCTGGCATACGCATCTGCCGTACGTCTCATCACAGGAGCCGTAGTTTCGACTTGCGTAGCAGTTATCCGGACACACGGCTTCGTCGCATGCTGCTCCAGCTGATCCCGGCTGAAAAATTACACACGAATATCAACACTATTGTAGACATATAAATCTATTCACAAACTGAACTGCCTTCACATCATTAGGATTGTAACACGACAGTAGAAATCAACAGAAGCTATTTGGACATAATTGTCATCCCATACAGCGATTTCATCTTCAATCTAAGATATAACTTCAAAATATGAGAAAATAATAAATTTAAGATAAACAATAATGGCTGCATGGCAGATGCTAGCCGAGATGACGCAATGCAAATTAATTCAATTCATTTACAGTAATTTGTCACTATTTCAAATACTGTAAAAATTTAGTTGACCTACCGAACACACAGGTTTCTTGCCATCACAGATGCGGCCGTCCCCAGGCCTGTCTGGGCAGCTCAGAACTTTATAACTGGAAGAGAAGCCCACAGTTGGATCTCGCCTCTGCAGCAACACTGTGAGGTAGCCAGACAACGCAGCAACCACGGTCGTCCCGACGTCTTCTGAAGAGCGTTTGAAGACGCCCGAATGCTCGGTGCAATAGGACCCTAACACGTGGTTCCTTCTGTCCCATCTGAGGTCTTGTGATACCAAGTCTGGTACGCCGTCGTACACAAGTAACGTGGACGTGGAACACGGCACATGCAAGTCCTCAAGGCTAAAAAGGACTACGTGCGTTCCAACAGAGTCTTGCGATGGCGGGGAAATTGATTTGAACGGAGTGATGATCCACATGCAAGTTTCAGTGTCATTGCTGATCGTGTCTATCCTAGAGCCGCTCTCAGCTGAAGATGTTCTGGGTGAATGTGAAGAGGATTGTTTCATTTGCAATGAGGAAGATCCATAAGAAAAATCATCGACAGACAACAGGGCACTTGAGGTTCGGGCAGCAAAAGAATGCTGTTGAAGTGGAGTCTCGTACCGCTGCGCTCCGATATTACCACTAGTAGCAGCATAAACTATGTTTCTGGGACGACATTCTAAAAAGCACTTGCCGCCTTTGGCAGGGTTGCCATAATATCCTCGGGCACAAATCTCACAGTTACGGCCTCTAGTGTTGTCAATGCAAAAACACTGACCGGAATTTCTATGACATGTCCCCAAATTTTCGTCACCGTGGCCGTTGCAAGCACACACTTGACACCCTGTAGGAGTGGTAGCGTTTCCCCAGCTCTTGTCCCTGCATAGCTGGCAGCGGTCACCGTACGTATTATCTTGGCACGAGTCGCACTTCCCAATACCATTCGAGCAGGTCGAGTGGTTGTGACAGCCACAGTCAACCGAGCAGTCAACTCCCGTCCAACCAAGATGACATTCACAGACGTAGTCAGGCGCGTCACTGCATCGTCCGTGAACGCACGTAACGTTGCAAGTTCGATCGCACTTCTCCCAACCGTCGCCTTCGAAGCCTTGCTTGCACGTACAGTTATAGCTGCCTTCAGTGTTGGTGCAAATCGCACGTTCGTGGCATTTGTGCAACTGCAGGAAGCATTCGTCCAGGTCTGGACAAGCAGTAAAAGCGTATCCAGCAGTACGATTATTCGGATCAAATATGGGGAAAGTTGTTGAGTGCAATTCAGTAGATAAAACACCCTCGTCCGGAGCGTGTGTTGGCATCAGTCTTTCGTCAATCAAGCCGTCTATTATTGGAGCTATGTAGTCGGAACAGTTTCCTGGTGAAGGAAATTGACGGTAAGAACAATGTTATAACAGAAATAATACAGTTCAGTTGTGTGACACAATTGATTGTCGATATTATTAATAACTAACTAGAATACCATAAAGTGGGGTAACTTAGACCACTTTTTTCTTTATAAATGATGCCATTTTTTTACTAGCTAAATTAAACTTGAATTGAAACATGCAAAATACAGGTCTATACTCTAGCTTCACTCACCATAAATTGCTGGCTCCTGCCTCTCATAGTCTTTACGTAATTTCAAAAAAAGTGATGGTCTTTGTTACCCCAGCTCTTGGGGTAACTTAGACCAGGTGGTAAAATCAATTATATTTTTTGGTAAAATAACTCCAAATAACTTCAGGTTTTGGTGCATTGTAGTAGAACTCTTCTAGTTACATATGCAAATGACAAACTTGAGGAAAGTGTCATAGTTTGCAAATGGGGGGTGCCGCCCCATAATGGGGGAAATGTGACTACCAAATGGCAGCCCTGACAGGGTAATATTGACTGGCTTGGAAATTAAGTTAAAATTACCATATATAAGACTCTCTAGAGTCTGAAACACAAAGAAAAAACATAAATAGGCTGTCAGACATAAAATGTGTTATATATGGTAATTTTATATTAACTTCCAAGCCGGTCTATGTTACCCCGTCAGAGCTGACATTAGGTGGTCTAAGTTACCCCATTTGGGGGCAGCACCCCCCATTTGCAAACTATGACAATTTCCTAAAATTTGTCATTTGCATATGTAACTAGAAGAGTTCTACTACAATGCATCAAAACCTGGAGTTATTTAACCAAAAAATAAAGAAATTGGAGGGGGTACTCTGACAGGCTTTGAATAATAGTTTTTTTTGTGGGTCACATTTTTAATTTTTTAACCTATTAGATATGCAAACTTTTTAAATCTTTCTATTGTGTTATGTAGCCTCAGTATTAGGCCTTTAATGCCCATAGACAAAATTTTTCTATGTCAAATAGTTTTTGACTTGTGGGGGTTTTTGTTAAAAAAACGAAAAGTGGTCTAAGTTACCCCGCCGGTCTAAGTTACCCCATTTTACGGTATTTTCAAAAATTGATTGAATTCTAATACATTAATGCACTGAAATTATTTTTAATCCAAGATAGAGTGCACATACAAAGTTTTAAGCATTTGCTCATATTATGAATTCAAATTTTAAACGTATGAAACTTGTTTATGAACTCATGGTCATCTACAGGTGCAAGTCTAATACTTAGTTTTAAAAATCCATCAGCGGATGGAATATTTCAGCTTTCATTTGATGCGGACAAGGAATGACGATCATGAAAAACAAGCTGTGATTGACCACCATGAGCGACAGAGAAGTAAAAGTCCCAGGCCTCAACAACTCATAGTAGAAGTAATTCATGGCTCACACTCCAACAAATGAGTAGTAAAAATAGCGGAGCAACCAGCAAGCAAGAGCTCACATTGATCTCGGCTCTGACAGCCACTAAAAGTAAAAAATATTACCGTCAATTGGAGCATTGAAATCTCCTCTGACGCAGACGCCAAGCGTTAGCTTGTTAAAACTCCAACAAATGAGAAACAAAACTATCCACCGCCAACCGCAGGCATAAATTCAAATTAACTTCAGCTTAAACACACTAGAAACTAAAAGAATTACCGTTAATAGGAGCATTGAAATCTCCTCTGACACAGACGCCTAGCGTGGGGTTGAGTTTGTTATAGCACCAGCCGCAGTCGAGCGTCTGCAGGCACTCTTGACACGTGTGTGCCGCGCCGCACTTCATGCAGTCGTTGCCGTCCCTGTAAACAAATGATATTATATCAGTGATGCATCTCACTAATTTTTGTACTTTATTCCATATGAAACTCACATGGAAAGAAAATATATTATACAAAATTTTGTACTTTTTGAAGCTAAATCATGAGCCATCAATGAATTTGAGCCGAAGACTAAGGCCCAATAACAAAAATTCAATACAAAGATGACCATTTTACCGGTGAAGAGTAACTGGGCTGTCGCCATCAGTGCGCTGGAGTTGGCTAAGTGAGGTAGGGGGTTCTGTGGAGGGCAGCACCGACACGTTAGTGTGGTCCTCGTCCAGCCACGCTCTGCACGCCCCGTACTGATACACTGACGTGTACACCGAGAACAGGAAGCAGCTCTGTGGAACATTAACATCGTAGTAAATAAACATGTAAAAATTACTCTTTCAAAATTAAAAAATTAAATTAAATTAAACTCAAAGTAATTGTCCCTTACATAATTACACACAAATTGTGCAAGGACTTTTCCAATTCGCAGAGTAGTTATTGTGTAATGACTTTTCCAATTCGCTACATAGGTAATAGTTAAAGTAAAGATCAATAATCAGAGAAGGTAAATTGTATTATATTTGATTTTCGGGTTCGCTTCATGACTCTCTGTAAGGAATGCTCAAGATAGGTCAAGGTTCAGGCTTCTTTGCGGATTATGACAACTTGGTTATTCAATAATGTAGATTGTCCTTAGTTCAGACTTCAGTGAAGATTACAGAGGTAGAGTTCCCATGGCTGAGAGTTGAGTTTGGTTACCAGGCACCGATGACAGAATAAATTGTTCTTCATCCGAATGTAATTAATCAAGTCCAGGCTCGAGAATTACAGACGACCGGACATCAGCATTAGGTATGTTCATCAGAAGTTATTGCCGGATGAGAAAGAAGCAGGTAAGTTTTGGGACATACAGCAGGCGTCACATGTTCGGTGAAGTTTATATTGTATAAGAAAGAAATGAAAGTTATGGAATATGCAGAGCTGGTATCCACAGAGCTCGATAAATGCAATAATCAAGGCAGTTTATATCAGAAGTAATGCATTTAAGTATAATGGCACACGCCTAAATCTACTCGGAGTTAGTGTGTAACCGAGGTCATAACTGCTAGGCTATAATACAAGGAATGACACCCTAAAAAAATAGGAGAGTAAAGTAGAAGGAAGGCTCACTAGAAAAGACAGGCAGGAGAGTAGGAGGTTCAAATGCTTAGGAAAAAAGTTAGAGGACGAAACCCTAATCTCCCTCTTCTTATACTGGACCCTAAGCAAACCCCCAGTTAATTTACATCCACCTTACACGTCTTAAAAGGAGGTTATCCTCCAACGTAAGCTTATGGCGAGTGAGCCTTAGAAAAAATCCATAATTAACATAGAAGAAATAAAAAATTAAATAAATCCTGCTAGAACCACATTCTTATAAAATAATAAGATAATAGAATACTAGTATTAGAAGTCTGTAGTCGTTGGAGGTGCGCTCCCTCGTCACATGGCAGAAAGTGATGCAGCTATGCGTTCAAAAGTGGTCATTTCTTACAATTGTTGGCACACGTCAGTGTATTGATTGTTCAAACACGCCTCAGTGTAGTTCAATTATTGTTGGACCAGGTCAATGTAGCTTTTGTGTAGAGGTTTATTTGTATCTAGAATGCAGTAAAATTGAATCAAACAGTAGTGAGGTGTTCAACGTACAAATATATCATTGATATCATAGCGAGAATTACCACATTTAAGCCACAGAGAATGAATTTAGAATGATTTTGAGGGCACACACTAGACAATTCGTCATTATCTTGCCGAACATTGGATACTTCATGACTATGACAAAACGACCAGTCGGACCAGCAAATAACCACGTTTAACACAATATTTCTGGAACTGCACTGACCTGCGTGTGTTGGCACCACGCACATCGGCCAGTAGTGCCAAGGCAGAGCGTGCATGTCTGCCTGAGGTGGCACTCCAGTGGGCACTGGGAGGTGTTGGTGACGGCGCTGTGAGGGAACCTGCCACGCCGGGTGCAGTGCGCGGCGTCCGGCAGCCACTCGCAGTCGCTGTCTCCAGCGCAGTCACTGCAGTAGATGTGCTGCTGGCACAACGGGCACTCGCTCGCTGCCAGCACCAGGAAAAAATTGTTGTTTATATCTTCTGATTCTGAGTCTTTCATCCCCAAGCATGGTGAGGAGTTAGAGATGCATTTACCTCCGCCCGCGGGACACCACCCGCACGCGGCGTCCATGACACATGCAAGACATGTACGGCGACCCGAGCAATCTTTACCAGACCTATAAACACGCAGGTCTTTTTTCTGGACGTCCTCAGCTGCGTTACTACCCGACGCACCTCCGCGCCATTCAAGCTTCAATGATCCAGTTGATCGACCCTCTATCTTTATTTCGTATGCAGGTCCAGGGGCATTCGGGAAATCGACGTCTACGTTTTGTTTTTCTTCACCTTCAATCCACAATGTCGCGTTCTGTACATCGGCATTGAGCCTGAGAGTAAGGTTAGGATTTTCCGGTAGTATAAACCCATGTAAGCGTGCAACAAGAACCCCTACGCTGTTACCCAACTCGTTACGAGCGCCACGGAACTCCTCGCGCGTCTCCAGCACAAGCGAGCTGTCATTATTGATGAACACAACATCAGGGCGTGAGAAGTCAACAGGTCGGCGGTAAAGAGCATACGTGAGTCCAAGACTAGCAGCGCCGCCACATTTATTGCTCTCAGTGACGCCTGCGACGCTGCCGATGACTGCGGTCACTCCTGGATCGTCGATCCCTTGACACAGATTTGCCTCATAATCGTGGCACGATCGAGTGTACGGACACCACGTGCACGATGACAACGTGCATGCAGTGCACGTAGAAAGTAACGTACAAATCCCTGGGCAAGAAGCAGCTTGCATGTTGCTCGTGCACGAGGCGTTGTTAGATCGAGGGTAGCACTGGTTATTTTCGCCGCACCACACGCAACTTTTGTTCACCACCACGTCGACGCTGGCACCATCGTCGTCAATACTGGAGTCTTCACCACTCACCCCGCTGATACACACAGCCTGTGCAGAAGAGAGATTATGAGTGCAAACACCTTTTATAACCAAGAGATAATGAATGCACAGTCTGTATAGACTGTGTGAAATACACAGCCTGTACAAAAGCATAAAGATGATGGGGCAGACCCATTGAAGCTCAGCGTGAGCCTTCAACATGATATTCTACATATATTCAACAATAAGCTTTGCAGGCTGATGCTCACATTGATAAATCAACAAATAAAGTTTAATTGAATGCAACCACAACCAACTGTGAGATGAAATTATACTTAACAATTATCTATACTACAGTATACATTATAGCAGATTTGGCCAAGGCAGATGTGTAAGTGTGTGCCAGATGTGAGCATTATTGTCTCTTATTGTACCTCCTGAATCAAAGATGTGACGAATACATAGAATATAACCAACTGAGAGAGTGCCAGTGGTGTAGTCGCTGTATCACGCAGTAGTGACTAGTCATATAACCTGTGAGGTGTAGTCGCTACACCACACATGACTAGTCGCTACATCACGCCTAGTCACTAGTCATATAACCTGTGAGGTGTAGTCGCTCCATCACGCCTAGTCACTAGTCATATAACCTGTGAGGTGTAGTCGGTGCAGGTGGTGGCAGGAGGAGGGCGCAGGTGTGAGGGCAGGACATAAGCCAGCACGGCGTTGGTGACGGTGCCGTGGAAGCCTCCCACCACGACCAGGGTGCGGCCGTGCAGCAGGAACGCGCCGTGTCCGTACACCCCCTGCAGCCCCCCTGGCAGGCCTGAGCATGTGGATGGCAATAGTTCTTATAGGCCTAGGCGGGAGAACATGGATTGTTCATATAGGTTTGTACGAGAAGACAAAGTGTTCTCATAAGCCAATGCCATAGAATAAAAATTGCTCTTAAAGGCCTGATTCCGAGGTCAGGAATTGTTCTTATAGGCCTATGCAGGAGAATATAAATTGTTCTCATAAGCCTATGCAGGAGAATAGGAATTCTTCTTATATGTATATGGAGGAAAACGGGAATTGTTCTTATATGCAAATGCACAAGAACAAGAGTTTTTATTATATGCCTGAGAATGATAACATGAATTGTTCTCACCCTGACAGCCCTGCGCACAAGAACATATAAGAATAATAACGTATATTATTGAACTAGGCCCAAAATTTGAACTAGGCCGGCAATTGCTATTACATACCAGAAAGAGCGAGTGGCGTGAAGGACTGCGGCAGCCAGGAGTGACAGGCGAGGTTGTACATGTACACGCCGTTGTCATAGCAGGTCTCCTCTTCCTTGTGCTTATGCAAGTAGCCACCGTACACAATCATGTAGTCTCCTGGCCCATTGCAAATAAGTCATTAGATATATGCAAGGAGAAAATGAAGCACAATAATTAAATCGAGAATTAACAATGGTTGCCGTGACGTGCAAAATACTGTGAAATTTGTCCAGGGTTGCTAGATATAAATACAATCTCTTTCTCGTATATTGAAATGTCTTTAATAGGTGGTCATTGTAATAGTGTTTTTAATTAAGTGAAGGAAGGCTCATTCAAACTCACATACAACTGCAGTTGTGAAATTAGCTTTATATTATATTTTTACTTGTAGACAAAGAACGGATAAATAAGATCGAAATAAGAAGTTGAAATGAGATCGTTTTATCCAACTAAAAGTTTTCAATGCATAACGATTTCAACAACAAAAACCAGTATAGATCAGTTGATACTAAGTTAATAACTGAATCAATAACAAGGCACGATAAGTTTTGTGGCTATGCATTATAATAATTTATATTTCAAATGCCAGCCATCGATCTCAGCAGCAAATCCTAAAGGGATAAACTTATAATTAAAGATGCAAAAGGAGTTAAATGCAGCTTTTGAGCGCCTCTACAGTGAAAAATATTTCCACTTGCCTGCCACAACTGCCGAGTGGAAGGCTCGCTCTAGAGGCGTGTGACTTGTAGCATTAGAGTTCCTGAAGTTCATATCGTGGGAAGGTCGAAGCTCAGACCAGAAGTTCTTGCTAAGATCAAACTTCAATAGACGATCAGAGAGCTTGGAAAACCTGGCAATGTCTACACGTATGCCACCATAAATGAACAGCGCATGCGAGGGCTTGTGATATATAGTAGTGTGCCCTACAAGTCGGGCATCTAACTCATTCCCACCTCGATATATTACTTTTTGCCATTGTTTCTTGTCTTCCATCATGTTGATACGGTACATGGCGTTGGAGAAAGCACCGTGAGGAAGGTTGCCTCCAAATACATACATCCAGTGTGGAGGGACAAATGTCATGGTAGAAAACATCAATCCTGGAGGGTGAGACCCAGTATTGGGCGAAGAACCGTTGGTGAGCAGAGACCATTTGTTGCTCGTTGTGTTGTACAGCCAAAACTCAGGCACTGTATCTCCATTGCCCAGTTTCCCGCCATACATCACGAAGTTGGTTTTGTATGCAGTCATGGCATGACCATACCTTGCTGCAGGTACCTTGTCTTCCTCTAGGTCTGAGGTTTGGCCAGACTGCTCTGATTGATTGAGTTCCGATCCAGGCGGAACCATGCGCCGAGTGTGTTTTTTAACTTTTTGATCACCTTGCCATATGCGTTCATTTGAAGGTTTAGAGCTCAATAGTCTGGTGGAACTTACATCACCATAATGCTGTTCTTTGGTAGCAAACATCTTATCTCTATCCGAAATTATGAAAGGTGAGTGACGCGGATTTCTAAAACGACGGCGACCAATACGAGAACTAAATTGACTCTCAATGAAAAACTTATCTCTATCTCGTCTCGTGCGCTTCAACTCTTCATACTTTAAATTTGGTGGAGAAAAGTTATCAATGTAGTCGAGATCGCCATTATGAAAATGCCTTTTAGTTGTAAAAGTGGCCCGTTTTTCTTTATTAGAATTGAATTCATTACGATTGGAGCCGGAATTGTGCTTTTCCTTCCTGAATTCATTAATTGAGGCCTTAGGAGCAGGAATATTTTTACTGTCAACATCGCTGTGCTTGTTTTCTCTACCGGCCTCGGTGGTGGATTGACTTCCTCCTGGAGCATCTTCATGAAAGTCCAGTAAATTATCACGAGAATCAAAAAGCTCACGGTCATCTTCAAGGAAAGGATTTTCATCAACACCCCTATTATTTACTGTCAAATTCCGTAGCAGGACAGAATCCTCGAATTCCGTAGCAGGCACCTTCAAGAATGCTTTAGTACCTTCAGGAACCTGTAACATAAACTGGTGTGATTTTTCCAGGGCTTTTCGACGTGAAGAGAACTGATAGGAGCTCAGAGGCAGTGTTGATGGGTGGTTATCTACAACAGTGGTCTCCACACTCTCAGCGGTTGGGGTGTCAACCACTTTATTGTCATTCAAGAAGACTGTGTTGAAATGAAGAAGCTGGGCTAACCGGCGTAAATTCTGTCGTGTTTGAGCTGATTTTTGACTAGCTTCATTCCCAACCAATAACCAAGTTCCATTAGTGATGTCATAGACGATGAGATCACCTAGCACCGAGTTGAGATCATATCCTCCAAATATATACACTCTTTCTAGCTCGGGTATGTAGGCAGTGCCGTAACTGGTACGGGGTGAGAATGAGGGATGGCCTTGGGCTCTATTTTCACTCCACAGCCAATGCCACTTATCCCCCACCTTGTCAACATAGGGTTTAGGTGGATCTTTAGATCCAGCAAGAAGTGAAGGCTGATCTTGGCTGCCAAATTTATATCCCAAAGAACAACTTTCACCATAATACCCAGTTTCACACACGCAGAAAGCCTCAGAAGACAGATGGCTGGGCAGCTGATGGGGCTCAAAACACACGCCCTGGCCTAAGTCTGCGTTGCAGTCATGGGGGCAGCGTGACAGCTCACACCCAGAGCCATAATACAGCTTCTCGCACTCACACTTGTGATTCTGGCAGGTGCCATGTGATGAACAATTCAGAGGACAGTCTGGAATGTGGATAGCATATTAGAATGTTAATTCAAACACTGAAACAAATTTGCATTGAGTTTTGAATAATTTTGGGTTCTGACATGGTTTTCAACAGAGAAAAGAAGTTATCAAATTAAATGTGCTTTGACTACGGCCAAATGTTAGCAAGTTGAATTTAAAGTTATTTGTCATCATTAATTAAATCAATTGTTTTTTGGTCCAGCCACATTCTTAGGTAAGGAATATATATGCTTACATATCAAACAATCAACAATTTTATACAATAAAACATAATATAGATCAATGATACCAAGAGGTGTGAATTTTTATTTCAAGGGAAAAACCCATTATTTAGAAATTGTATGGTAAATATTAAAAATTAATAAGGTTATACTAAAATAGCACATGGAAAGAGGTGCCAAATCAAACCATGGTAGGGTAACTAAAAAAATTGCATCTCCTTTATATTCATTACAATTTAAACAATCAGCAAATGAGCCTCTCAACATCTTGACACAAATAAAAATAAGTATTAAAATTTTGCCATTGTTTTTTTACTTGTTGTTTTTCGTAGTTTCATATAAATGATTATCTAGATTCTAGATGTTTTGTAGAGGAGCATTATTTGTTTTTGTCTAGCATAAGGAAGCATGTCAAAATGACTAATTGGTTGGGTTTTAATTAACCTCTGATGCAGAAACAATACAAGCAAGTAGTAGGGAAAATTTCAAACTAGAGGGTTAAGTTTACCTGTAACAAAGTATTCTGCTTCGAAGCCCTCCAAGGCATAATTAGTATCAGAGTAAAGCATGACAAGCATTTTGCCAGACTGCCCGGTGATGGGTTCAGGGATGTTGCGCCCAGAAAATACCCCCAACAGAGGGCTGTCAAATGTGTCTCCATCATACACGTAGATGTGATCGTAGGAACACTCCGTGGCCAGAGACGAGAAGTTCACAGTGATGAATTGGTTGGAAGTTTCAGCTGTAGGAACAGAATTGAATAACTGAGACTGTGATTATTGGTGACTCCAAATAGATGTTATATGTACATCCAGTGTCTAAAGGCTCAAAAGAGAAATAACTTTATTTATAATCTAATAAGCAAACCTAGATGTATTTGATGGGAAGAATAACACTAATTTTTAAATGTCTACAATGCTCATCATCATGATGGACTAATTTCATTATGAAATAAAAGGAATGTTTTATAATACCAGGTTACTGCAGTAGCACTTGTTTGACAGCAGTAAACATGTTATAGCTTCATATAAAACTTATTTACTCAAATGAAATGGATTAGTTAGGCCACAAGATTTTTGGTAAATTCATGTTGCATCATTACACTAAATCTGTGCAGTAATATTTTATTACAAAACAATCAAATTTATGTCGCAGAGGTATGAAAACTGACAAAAAAGACAATTATCCTTATTTATGAATAATTAAAAAATTTAATATTACAATGGGTCTTTGTGACTGTTAGATTGAATTTTCAACATAAAATTGTTCAAAATGAACATATACAAAAATGCTTAGAAATAAATATTACCTTTGATGAGCCACTGACAATGAGATGCTTGAGGATAGTCCCCAGGTCCATCTCCAAATGTGCCATACGTGCCACTCAGGACAACCCTGGTCCTATTGCAGGGCCTAGAGTGTCCGGCAAGCACAGCCGAGTCATTGAGAACTGTGCAGAGCAACAGCACTGACACACGTACACCCCAGTACAGTACTGGTGCGCTGGCAGCCAAGCGGAGCATGGCATGATGAGCATGAGATGGAACCAAGTTTCTATGAATGCAACATCGCATTGTGTTGCTCTGCTCTCTTTTTTTATTTAAATGCTCTTGCTATCTGGAATCTGCAGTTCAAATGTTAGAACAATTAAAAACTGTAATCAGTATTCTAATCTGTAGATAGGTACACATTCATGATTATAAGGAGAAATAGGAGATTTATCAAAGTACCTATGGCTAATATGATCTTGCCAGCAAATCCACAACAAATGATCTTGCCAACATACGAGTATTTAAAACCCCATTGACCAATATTCTAGACAAAAAAGGACATGAATTAAAATTTTTAGTGTTTGATTGCCAGATAGTGTCAAACAAAAGATTTTTTAGAGACCAGTTGACTTTCAATTTCCTGATCTACTTTGAAATATCATTTAATATTAATATGCTAACGTGGGTACCTATCCATGAAACCTTATATAGTTGTCTAGTAATAATACTCCTAAAGGATGAATCTAAATGTCTTTACTTTGCTACTGTACTTAGTAACATGGGTTTCCATGATACCTTACATAGTTGTTTAGTAATAATACTCCTAAAGGATGAATCTCTACTACTAAAGGAAGGAAGGATAAAGGAAGTCTCTACTTTGCCACGGTGCATACATATAGTTGCAAATAATAACTTAGAGGCTTTTTCTGATTGCGCTAGAAAGTAGTGGCTCAGTTTTGATTACAAAATAGATAGTTTCCATTGAAGGTTGGTAACATAGGTGCCGTGGCATCATTAATGGTATTGACAGTAGCTCACAGTGAGTTATGCCTATCTGGAACATTGGGAATAACCCTCAGATGCCTGAATGAATGAGACAATAATATATGTTTAAAAATTACTTTTTACTTGTCTTTGGAAGACAACACTTCCAAAGAATCTAGTGTCTCCAATCTTACAGATGTACAATAAATTTCTCATTAAATTTTCAAATATTAAAAAATTTAATTTTTTAATTTTTTTTAATATATAAATTTTTTTTCCAAAATTATTTATTCTGTTAATTGATTCATGCATTGCCTCTGTCTTCACACAAGTGTGCAAAATTTTAGATCAGTTAGACAGGTAAAAGTGTGTCAAAAATCAGTTATAAGATTTGTAGCTGACAAAATTATTTTTTCAATTTTTTATATTGAAAAAAAAAATTCATTTTTAAAATCATTTATTTTGATATTTGATTCATGCATTGCCTCCAACTTTACACAAGTGTGCAAAATTTCAGATCAATAGGATAAATAGAATTGTATTAAATTTCGATTACAAGATTTGTAGCAGACAAACAAACAGACAAGAAGTGAAGCTAAAGAGAGGTGTTGTAAAAAGGCTTGTGCTAGTGGGCAATTAAACCATTTTTATAGACCTTACCTAGTTTCTTCAATGTAAATAATAAGAAAAGCAGCATATTTAGGCCTGTGATATTTAAAAATTGCCTGTGAAATTATCATTTATACCAATAGTTTTTTATGGGAAGAGTCTTGCCAAAATGCTCAGCTATTTACAGACGGATCACTTTGAAACTTGGTACACATGTGAGAACCAAAAAATAGACATCATTTATTCATGTTAATTAAAAAAATGAAAGGAAATATGAAATTCTTAGAAATCTCCTCCTATGATTTTCAAGCTATTTACATCGAGACGCATATCATTCGATGCGTAAGGACCATATCTATCGATTCGTCAGAGCTTTTTCCAAAATTCAAATTTTTGTGGGTGGGCGAGCATTTTTCATAAATTTTTTGATCCCCCCTTTTTTCAAAATATTTTAAAAACTTTCACAAAATTGAAAAAAAGTCTGACCAATCTCTAGATAATTTATTTGCAAATCAAATGGTATACCTATCATTGTTGTAGCTTAAAAACTGTAGGAGATAGGTTTGCAGTGACAATAAGTGTGAATGTTCAGTGGATTACGACAAGTTCCGCACGCCTTGAAATAGACATTCAAGGTTGCAAGGAGGCAAGACTAGACAATACTGGAGCTCAATTTCTTTCAAGGATGGTGCTAACGATTGCACAAGAACCATCCCGCACAACTGCAGCCGGGTTACTAAAGCAGAGTGTGTTCAGACTGGCTATTTAAGTGCACTGCCAGGCATTTTTGCCTATGTTTAATGTTAATATATGGGGAGCGTCTGGGTCCAAAATTTACAATTTTGGCTTTTGTGGTTTTTAGTCTCCTCTTAAAGCTGATACCTATCCAATGGTATCAAAATTATTGCTGTATGTTAGTTCTGCTGTATCACCACTCCTCTTAATGGTTCCCCTCTTTGCATCATTAATGTTTATATCCCACCGGCTTCCTCCTGCCTCCCGGGATATTCCCTGGAACTTTCTGACATAGTCTCCATACCGGGCGACAATCTGATAGTTGGCGATTTTAACGCCCATCATCCTTCCTGGTTCTCCCACATGGAAGACCAGAGAGCCGCAGCGTGAGGAGCCATAGTTGACGACCTCGTTGCCGGTTCCTCCCTTACCTTCCTCAACGAGGATTCCCATACCTGCCTCCCCTACCACGGCCCAACCTCCTCTCCAGACCTCGCCATCATCAACAATCATCTACTGCTCGTCATCTCCAGGGCTCCTCAAATCACCCTTAACTCAGACCACCTGCCCATTCTGATTCATCTCCCTTCCTCTGTCGACTCTCCAACCCCCCAGGCTGCTCGCTCATACGTCAACTTCAAAAAAGCTGACTGGCCCACCTACACGGCAGCCATCGAAATGGCACTCCAGATGGTCCCTCCCATACCTTGTGTGGCGGTGAGTCGACCTTGAGGGAAATTTTGACGACTGCTGCCAGACAGCATATCCCTGCTGGTTTCCAGAAGGATTTCTCCCCCTTGGGTCAACCCTGGCACCTGGTTGCTCATCGAGCAACGGGATGACATCAGGGCACGTAATCCAACAGACCCCCGGCTCCCAGAACTCAACCTGGAAATTAGTATGTCCATTCAGGTCCACACCAGAAACATATGGCAAACTCATCTTGCGTCATGCTGCAGGCGTGCAAACCAGTCTAAGCACTGGAATCTCCTTTGCTCTCTAGCTGGAAAGCAAAGCCACCCTCCCCCAATCAGCCAATCCAATTTGGTCTGAATACTTTTTCATCTCAGCGCAAGATCTCCTCCGCCTTCTGCAAGTTATTTACTTCGATTGCTCCCCACTCCCAAAGCCCTTCCGCCCGCCGCCTCATACGTCAAATCCGGGCTGAACATCCCCTCGATAGGGACTTCTCCCTGTTCACACCTGACATGGTGAAGCTTGCCATTGCTGCCGCCAACAACTCCTTTGCTCGAGGTCCGGACGGCCTCACGGTCCTTCATCTTAAGCACCTCGGACCACGCGGTAACCAGTACCTCACCTGCATTTTCAACGCCTCCGTCGCCACAGCCTCCATCAAATCCATTTGGAAAAATTCAATAAGTATTCCAATCCTCAAACCGGGCAAACCCAGAAACCAGGGCTCTTCATACCACCCTATCTCCCTCCTCTGCCCTGCAGCCAAGATCCTAGAGCGTCTTGTGCTCTCCTATATCTTAGGATCCCTCACCACCATCCCCTAGCAACAGGGTTTCAGACAAGGACACTCCACTGTTACCGCCCTCACACTCACGCACCAGATCATGATGGGCTTTAACTCTCGGCACCCTTCAGCCCGGACTGTCAGTGCGGCAGTCGACCTCTCAAAGGCTTTTGACAGTGTCAACCACCCTCTCCTCCTAAGCATGATTGCGGCCTTGGACCTACATCACAACCTGGTCCGCTGGCTGTGCTGCTACCTCTAAGGCAGGCAGGAATCTTGCCTCTACCTCAGAATTCAATCACCTTTCAGAGCCATCCACTCAGACGTTCCCCAGGGCTTGGTCATCTCTGACATCCCAGTGCCTACCCCAATATTGCCTCATACACGGACAACCTTACCATCTTTGTGTCGTCCCCAAGGCTAGACGCTGTGGAGGCTGAGCTTGCCTTGCTTCTTCGCAGCATCTCAGACTGGTCAGCTGTTAAGAAACTGACCATGGCTCCTGGCAAGTCCTCGGTCACACTCTTCACCCCAGATACGCACCAATCCCAATACCACCCATCTGCCACCATCTGCAACGGCATCATCCCACTGGATAAAACCCCTAAAATCCTAGGCATCACCTGGGATACACACTTCACTTTCTCCCCTCATGCAAGAGCCATAGCCACAAAACCAACGGGTTCTCTCCGCATCTTAAAAGCCCTTGCTGGCACCAACTGGGGCTTCTCCAAGAAGGACATAGTTGTCACCTACCGTACCATCACATGCTCAATCCTCTAATACACAGCCCCCATCTGGTACCCTGTTGCCTCTTTTAATGCAGTTGCCAGCCTGCAGATAATACAAAATACTGCATTGAGACTAGCCACCGGCTGCCTCAAAATGGCCCCAATCTCCCATCTGCACCAGGAGACCGGCGTCTATTCTTTGTCTGTGCACCTGGACCTGGCTTGTGCCCAGTTCCTTGCCAGCGCCCTCTAGCCCTCCCATGCTTCTTTTCGCAGGGTCTCTGCCCCTCTCGGGGACCGCCCTATGAAAGCCTCGATACAGTCAAGGTTCGGCCATCCTGTCACACCACTCTTGGCAAATGGCATCTTACCTGCCGGTACATACAGAGAAGCCGCCAAGTGGTCTCTCCGCAGGGAGATCACCTCCCGCTTTGTGGCAACTGACGCCATAAACGCCGTCCTCGCAGCCCCGCCACCGCCAATTGCATCAGTGGAGGCTTCACTCCCTCACCCCTACCGCTCAGTGTTATCCCAGCTCCACTCGGGATACTGTAGCTCCCTGGCATCCAAATCCACCAGGATTGGACGCTCTCCTAGCTCCACCTGCCCAGAGTGCGGGGATCCCCTCCAGTCTGTTCAGCACCTCTTAGTCTGCCCCGCATTCCCCATGTCTCTCAGCGTCTCCTCACTGTGGGACAGCCCCGTGGAGGCAGCGGCAATCCTGGCCACCCTCCCTGCCTTTGCTCATCTCCCCCCTCTTCCGGTGCTGGCCCCCCGCCCACCATCAGAGCCTCCCCCC